TGTCAAAGTCGTGACTACAGCGTCCTCTCCGTGTGGCGGTGTATGCGAGTAGGCGGCCTAGGACAGGGGCCGGGCGTTAGTGCGTCTTCACCTGTGTGTCAGCGGAGAGCGTTGGGGTTAGTGGCGTCGGCGCACGTAGGGGGACGCGGCGTTAGAGACGCAGCGTGACGGACGCGGCGTAAGACGCAGCGTGACGGACGCGGCTTAAGACGCAGCGTGAGCGCGACGCAGCGCGCGGCTTAAGACGCAGCGTGACGGACGCGGCTTAAGACGCAGCGCGATGGGCGCGGCTTAAGACGCAGCGTGATGGGCGCGGCGCTTAAGACGCAGCGCGATGGGCGCGGCTTAAGACGCAGCGCGATGGGCGCGGCTTAAGACGCAGCGTTAGAGACGCAGCGTGACGGCACGCGGCTTAAGACGCAGCGTGACGGGCGCGGCGTTAAGACGCAGCGTGACGGACGCGGCGTAAGACGCAACGTGACGGACGCGGCTTAAGACGCAGCGTGATGGGCGCGGCTTAAGACGCAGCGCGATGGGCGCGGCTTAAGACGCAGCGTGATGGGCGCGGCTTAAGACGCAGCGCGATGGGCGCGGCTTAAGACGCGGCTTTAGAGACGTAGCGTAAGGCGCAACGTGGCGGACGCGGCTTAAGACGCAGCGTGATGGCGCGGCTTAAGACGCAGCGCGATGGGCGCGGCTTAAGACGCGGCTTTAGAGACGTAGCGTAAGACGCAACGTGACGGACGCGGCTTAAGACGCAGCGCGATGGGCGCGGCTTAAGACGCAGCGCGATGGGCGCGGCTTAAGACGCAGCGTTAGAGACGCAGCGTGACGGACGCGGCGTAAGACGCAGCGTTAGAGACGCGGCGTAAGACGCAGCGTTAGAGACGCAGCGTGACGGACGCGGCGTAAGACGCAGCGTTAGAGACGCAGCGTGACGGACGCGGCTTAAGACGCAGCGTGACGGGCGCGGCTTAAGACGCGGCGCGACGGGCGCGGCTTAAGACGCGGCGCGATGGGCGCGGCTTAAGACGCAGCGCGATGGGCGCGGCTTAAGACGCAGCGCGATGGGCGCGGCTTAAGACGCAGCGCGATGGGCGCGGCTTAAGACGCAGCGCGATGGGCGCGGCTTAAGACGCAGCGCGATGGGCGCGGCTTAAGACGCAGCGCGATGGGCGCGGCTTAAGACGCAGCGCGATGGGCGCGGCTTAAGACGCAGCGCGATGGGCGCGGCTTAAGACGCAGCGTTGAGACGCAGCGCGTTTGTGACGCACCTGCGTTTGTGACGCACCTGCGTTTGTGACGCACCTGCGTTTGTGACGCACCTGCGTTTGTGACGCACCTGCGTTCGTGGCGCGGCGTAGCTTTAGACGCAGCTCCAGTAAGCAGTAGCAAAAAGGCAGCAGGCTGAGGCAAGGTAATGCAGTTTTAGCGACAGTGAGGGTTAGAAATAGAGTATTAGTTTTGATGTAGTACAATCAAACATAGAGTTTGGCATAGTAGAGTGTTAGTTTCACCACTAGGTGGGAGTGCAGTATCTGTCAGATCACACGCCGATGTGGTTCAACAATAACGCGCATCATGCAGGAGCAGGAGTACAGAATAGGATTAGTTACCACAGCAATGTGTTATTATCAGTGGCAAGGAGGGGGCGGGGGTGTGTGGGAGTAGCAGTGTTTGTTAAATCACCACACAGATGTGTTACTGTAAACTAGCAGTAGTGAGCTGAGCAGGAATAAAGCATAGAATGCGTATCACCAGCGACATGCAGCAGAAGGAGAGAGAGTTTTACAGCATTAACCTTGGACTAATGCAGCAATGTAGCTTAACAATTAGTTTAAGAGGAGAAGCAGAAACAGAGCGTTAGCTTTTGTTATTTAGCAGTAATGTGTTCTAATAAAAACAATATGACATGCAGAAGGGGGCGGAATTAAAATTATTAGTTTTAGTTTAGTGCAATCAAACATCAAGAATTTGGCAAAGTAGAGATTTTAGTTGGAACAGAAACAGCGAGGGACAACAGCCAAAACAGTGTTAATGTTACAACTCACAGCCAATCACTTGATCGTGAGACGTGGTGCAGGTAAAAGTCAAGACAGCGAGCAATTTGGTCCCGGAAGTAGTGCCGGGACCGGGAAAGCAATTTTGTGTTTAGACAATAAGAGGTGCGGCCCGTTTAGCAGTATGCCGAGACGGCTGGCGCCTTATGATCGTCAGTAACACAGAATCAGGATTGGGATAGGATAGTACGAAGTATAGTAAGTGAGTGTTATTGTTAGACAGCAGGTAGACAAAGCAGCAGAAATGTGTAGTAGCAGTGGGGATGCGGCTCTGGCTTTTAGCGCGCCAGGGCCGAAAGTTAGCCGTTATGCTAAAAAAACAAAGGAGCGTAGCTAGCATGTAGCTTGCGGCAACGGGACATTTTGGCAGCAGTGTAGGCAATAAAAATGAGTTTTGGTGACCGAATGCAGTTCGGTTAAACAGAGTGGACTAGTTTTAACGGTAGAGAAGCAGCGTATAGTGGGAGCAGTAGTAGGAGCAACGGCGTTGTCAGAGTTAGCTTTGAGGCTAGCGGGGCCCGGGCGGAAGTTTAGCCTTATGCTAAAAACAAAGGAGCGTAGCTAGCATTTAGCTTGCCGGCAACGGTACATTGTAGCAGCAGTTTATACACGAAAGTCTGGAGCGAGTTATATAGTTCCGCACAAGCACGTAATCACAGTGGTGGAATGGGGTTTGTATGTATGTACTGTAGGGTGCTGGTGTGTGTGTACAACAGCAGGTTAGCAGGCAGAGAGAGTGGTGAGACAGAGTTAGCGTTAGCCGCCTTAGCAAAACGATAGCATCACATTCAAACAGCTGCCATTTACAGCCTTTTACACAGATATACTCGGTTAAAATCCTGTGTGACTTGGGTCACAATAGGGACACAATAGATCCGTACACCCGTGTTCTGGACACGGTGTACAGTGGAGTTATAAGAATAAGTTTGTGCGCTTTCTCTTCAGAGGGAAGCGACTTCACATTCCCCGCTGCCCGCTGGCCAAGCGGGGCGACACGTTGCAGGAGATGCGTAGTACCTGCGCCGAAGCCAGGATTTTTGAGACTAAATTAAATAGTCTGGTGCATGCACGAGACGCTTTTATCGCAAGCGTGGGGCGTAGGGGAGCTCGATTGCCGTTGAAGTCACTCTAGCAACGGGGGTAGCAGGGGACAGAGGGGGTGCGGGAGTGGGGGAAGCGCTGTGAGCGGAGCAGCAGTCTAAGTTAGCGTATATTAACCGGTCAATTCACAGAGTACGAGTCGATAAATCTGGTCTATATTCGCGGATCTCACAAACAGGGTACCAATATGTAGGGTGATCTACTTATATTAGCTGATTATAATTACTTATTAGTATGAATTTGGTAGTGTGGAGCGGCTAGTCTCCGGAGCGAAGCTCGCCGTTCCACCAACAGGTCTATGTTATTTATTTTGGGCACCAGCAGAGTTAGAAATCTGCACATAGACACCAACCAAATCTTTGCCTCGATATCAATCTATAAATCTAAGGGTGTAGAATACGTTTTATCGGCCAGGATATTCCGAGATCTAACAACGCGACTCTGGAGGGGTTGAGTTAAAGAAAAGTATTTTATTGATTACAAAAATGAGGGTAAAATATAACGAAAAGGGATTTATGGTCACGTTAAAGCAGGAGTTGTACACATATCATTCAAATCATACATTTTAACAAAGGAACAGTTCTTACTTTGAAGGAGCGTAGAGGATGGAGAAAGGATTTGGGTTGGGGATCAGGTCCACGTGGTTCCTTTGTCTGGGCAGGCGGGAGGTACAAAGCCAGTGAGTTGGTCCAGCTGCTGGTCCACGCGTATGCAGCTCAGTCCGGAATGGGTTGCACGCGTATAGTACAGAGCCAAGGAAAGAGGTGGTGATGAAATGGTTCGTAAGGGTCCCGAGCCAGAGGAGAGTATGTTTGGCGGAGTTAGAAGTGCCAGATGCGTGCTGGCGCGACCGTAGTAGGAGGGACTGTGGCAGCGGGGGACGCCGATGGGGGGCCCAGGGAGGTTGCGATGTTGATTTCAGGCAGAAGGCAAGAGAAAGAACATGCTTTGCGGGGCTTATATTGACTTCTGAAGGGGCGTGTCCATGTCTTCCCCCCCCCCCCATCTCTGTGGAACCAAACTCCTTTACACAGACAGTTTGTGAAGAAACATACAGGATTGATGCAAATGATCATAAGACATGTACAAACACACAGTGTATTTACATCACAGACATTAAACACACGAGTAGGTCCGTAACTTTAATATCATTGAGTAATGTCCCCTTTGAATGTTCGTCTTGGGTGCGGGATAGCGTCCAGTGTCCGCTAGGGAGCGTCAGGAGGGCCGCGGGGTGGACCCCTTGGTCCGTGGAATGCATTGTGACAATGCTGAATTTGTATCAGCTCCTCTGTTAACATGAAAAAGGGCACCAGATGGGTATCCCGCTGTTTTTATGGGTCCGATTGGCGTCGGTAATCCTCATGATTGATGGCGGCTTGTGGCTGACCCCATGGCTCCTTTGAAGCTGTATCTCTCCATTTGGTCGATGGTAAACAGAGTGGACAGGCTTGGTCCTGCCCTCAGTTTAACCTTACACATACACATGTTAAAAATGATTAAATATGAAGAAATAACTGCTTGAATTGAGTGGCTTTTATCTACATTTGAGTCTTAAAACAAGATTATTTCAAAACAAGAGAGACATTTCTTGTATCTGTTTAAAACAACATAATTTTGCTTGTCCCATTTTCAAATCTTGTTTTAAGGCAGTCACAGTGTTCTCAAATTAAAAGAAATGTTGCCAAATGTGAGCAACATTTTAATTATGCAACAATCCCTTTTTGCAGTGTATTGACTTTTTACCAATAACACACAAGTTATAATGAACAAAATATTGTGACTAATTAATCAGTGCTTCATCTATAACTTGAACAGATACAACAGACTACTTCTTACCTTCTATGTTCTTGTTGGGTTTGTAGGCATCATTCTTCAAGATCATTTTGATGAGATTCATGCACTGAACAATGAAGCGTTCGAAGACGAGTCCTTCCCCAGCGGGCGTAAACACGTAGCTCACAGCAAATTCCAGAGAGCGCTGGATGTGAGGGATGAATGCACACGGATGCTGCTCTAGAAAATCCAACAACTGATGAAGAGATCAGAGGAAGATAACTATAAATAAAACATGAAACACAAAACAAGCACACTGCAAAAATGAGATAATCAAGTATGAGATAATAATTGCTTGAATTGAGTGGTTTTTATCTTAATTCGAGTAAATTCTGACTGTGTTTAAACAAGATTTTCCAAAGGGTAGTCTTATGTCATTAACTCTATTTTCTCATTCCAAGGGAGACATTTCTTGTATATTTTTAAAACATATGTCCCATAAGCAAATCTTGTTTTAAGGCAGTCAGAATGTGTTCAAAATTAAGGTACATTTTGCTAAATTTGAGCGTTTTTTGACATTTTTCATAATTTTTTTGCAGTGTAAACAAGGGTTTTTCCACCCAAACTGGTGAGCAGAGTAGGAATTATGTTTTATATGAATGAAGGGTCCAAAAAGAATCGAGACAAAGAAACAAACATTTATCAAACATTTGTTTTTTCAAACTTCTATAAACATCACCATTTTAAAGGGGGGGATCTTCTGTTACACGTTTCGCTTCATTGCGTAACGTGATCATGTGTCAAGTTTGTGTAATTTAGAATCCCTGCATATTATTTTTGTGGTCTGCAATACAATTTTACGATTAGAGGGTGGTACTTTTCATATCAATAATGGCATATGTAAATTGTAGCCATTATTGGTCTAGTTTCATTCAAGCAGGTGAGAGGTCTGTACATGTATGAAGTCTGTACTGTATAATGTGTTGCACTGTAGGAAAGCTCCACCAGGGACAGGAGTCGAAAATTTGCATTAGCTACACACTCAGTATGTGTCGCATCAGTTGCATCTTTCATGTCACTATGAAACTATGTACGAGTACATTGTCCCTTTCAAACAGGTGCACAAAATACTCCACCCATTTCCACAGGTGAGTCCAGTTTTATCCAGAAGTATTGAGAAAATGGGCAGGGTCTCGTGTGCTCCTGCTCAGGTTGAAACTAAAACCTGCAGAAAAACCGGCCTTTTGAGAACCGGTTTGACACCCCTGATTTATATTATAGTTCTGCCTCTTGGTGCAACTTCCACCAGTAATATTTTCTGGAGGACCATAGTTAGACCAATAGGGTAGATTTTAATTAAAGTAGCAGTATGTAATATTTGCATGTCAAGTCATCATTAAATGGCCCCCATATTTCAAAAGGCGTTATTAAATCATGCTCTTTTCGAATACATCTTTAACTGATAAACAGTAGTTCAGCCGAGATATTTGATTATCAAAATAAGTTTTACGACCCGTAAAAGTTGTTATTGTTTTGATTTTGATGTCCTACCTTCCGCCAATCAGGAAGTGTCATGTAAGTCCGTGATCGGGTTGCCAGAACTCCGCGCGGCTCACTAATCTCAGAGGTAAAATAACGTGCGGCCGCAGAACTAAAAAAGGTCTTGTTATGACTCTCAAATCATTAATGACAAAACAAAGACTAAAACGAGGATTTATATTGGGACGCCTTTGAACAATTGAGACAGCTGATAAAAGTTTACGTGTGATGCAAAATTTGCTGCTTTTTGTCCATTCTTCAGAGAACTTCTAGTGCGTGAAACGGTGGTCTAGAGGTTAAAACAATGTGCTCTCCATGCAGTAACCTGTGTTCGATACCGGGCAGAGCCTTTTTCTATGACAGATTGCTCTAAAAACGGTAAAAGACAATGGTCAAGAAGTTTTTTTGCAGAACTTAAAAAGAATCATTTAAGACCACATGTAAGCAAATTAAAATAATGTTAGTCTCTTTTTGATGTGGGACTTATACAAGTTTGTCTAAAAAATAGGGAATAAATAAAATTGAAGGGTGATATCCTCTTGAGCAAACCCTGATGTTGATACGCTGAAGAAATACGGTCCAACATCCATTCTTCCCACTCCTATTTTGGACATCAATTACTTATTTATTTTGGATAATCTATAATTACATTGCTTTTATTTTGTTTTGTGTTTTTTATCTCAAATGTCCAAATAAAAATTAAAAATTCAACATTGATTCAACATTAGCACGGCTCATGGCAATGTGAATGAATAATTCCCTGTGTTTGCTGCTGGATTTGGTGTGTATCTGGCAACCTGACTGACAATATTGACTGACTGCAGTACCACTTTTGGCCAGATTTTTACATAATGCTCCTTTAAGTTTGCCCAATTATCTATTTATTTGTTTGTCTGTATTAATGTATGTGTTTCTGCTGCTACTGGACACCTGCATTTCAATAAAGTATCTACTCATCTATCAATTATGGAAGCTGTGAGGGTTAGCATGGGCAGGTCTTTCTTTCTTTCTTAGTACCTGGCATTCACTTTAAAAAGATGACTTACAACTTTGGTGTATAAGATAATCGTTTTTTCCAGCTTCTCCCTGCAGGGGCTCTCAGGACCAACTTGTCGACCTGAGGGGAGAAATACAATGATAAAAACAAAAAAAGGATCCATCTAATATAATCCAACTAGTTCCTTCTTCTCAACACGGTTGGGTTGTGTCACTAGTGCAGGTAATTTTTGGTCTCTCAGATATGCAATAATTCAAGTTAATAGGAGTGATTTTCTATTTGAATATTAAGTATATAGTTTCCTGACAATAAACAGCTAACTTCTTCTCGTTCTTTTTAGCCCTGCGGCCTATATGGCGATGCGGCTAATATGTGTTTTTTTATTGTGGTAGAGTTGTCAGAGCAGAGTTTATGGACTTAATATTTTAACGGCATCAGGTTTTAGTAGCTATAGGACACACGTATATTGTCAAAATAGACTGGTGAATGAGTACCGGCACAGAAGCTACATTACAACATGAAAACTTTTGCGGCTTATATTCAAGTGCGGCCTGTATATGGACAAAAAATACTTTCTTTTAAAATGTTGCTGGTGCGGCTTGAATAGAGTCTAAGAGTCCAGAAAGAATGATACAGAAGTGTACTTGTGTGCCTGAATAATATATACAATTGACAAGATAAACAACATGACTTTGCAGTAGTAGCAGCAGCCTGTGATCACCTTGAATGTCACTTCCAATCTTGTTAAACATGGATACTTTTCAATTAAGGCTGATCTGAACTGACACCATTGACTACAAAGGTTAACAGACTCAAAGATTTCTTACAGATCAGCGATTATGCAAACGACCAATACACACTATTGAGTTTGTGTCTATGCAATTGCTTGTGCATGTAAGGATACAGGGCGGATGCAGTGGAGAATATAGAGTAAAGTCAAAAGTTGCAGAGGTCATGTTTTTTCCAACAATGCTTAGTTACATTAAGATAAGAGAAGTCTTTTTTTGTTCCACCGTAGGGAAACTTCACCTCATGTCATATTTGCGCATATTACAGCAGAATAAAAAGATGAAATAAGAGCACTCAGGTTGCACACATCAAACAAGATGTATGATTTACAATAATATATAGTAAATTAAAATAAAAGCTATAATTGAATAGTCCACTAGTGATTCAAGGATAAATCACTAGTGGCCTATACACTGTAGTCAGCAGCATCATGGGGCATTTACAGATGTTTATATTGTACTTTAGCGGAAAAAGAAATAACCAATAAGAGCAGCAGGTAAAGTGACTAGTGAGTTATCAGAACAGAATTATCAGATGAATGGAATGTGTAATGATGTGGTAATAATATGGTATAGCAGGTAAAGTGACTAGCGAGTCACTAGTGGATTATCAGAACAGGTGAATGGCACAGTATTCACACATAATGTGCGAGTGCATGTGGACGCAAGAAAAGTGCCTGCTTCAAATATACCAATCTTTAGTCATGCAATCTCCCTTACCTTAATATCTAAAAGTAATGCAATCTAAATAAAGCATATTTAAAATACTATAATATAGTGAATGTGCAACATTCTGTAAGTGACAGTATTCTGCAGGGTCGAAGAGTTTGGCAGCAGTCCCTGTGCGGCTGCCTCTCATTTGTCAATCTGACCAAGGGCATGTCAGAGCTACAAGTTTACTCCAGGCATCTCGCACTAAGTACATTTTTAGTGGACTCTTTAATTATTTTCAATTAATAACTTCCAGCCTAGGTGGAAATGGGCCATTATCATGTTATCAATCATTTTAAAAGCTAATTTTCTCAAGAAAACCATATCAACCCATTCTTTAACCCAACACATAATTAGAGGTTGAATAGCTAAATATAAACAATATATCATTGGCCTATCATCAATTACATCTCTACTTTATATTTAGTCTAGTTTAGGGTCAATCCAAACTCTAGCTGTAACAAGTGGCACAGTGGCGCAGTGGTTAGTTCTCCAGGCCTTTCAGTGTGGAGTTTGCATGTTCTCCCAGTGTCTGCGTAGGTTTCCTCCGGTTTTCCCTACCACTAAAAACCTGTACAGTTCTGGGAGAATGAGCGTGTGTTTGTGAGTGCGAGTGTGGGACAACGGATGCAAATTATCCCGAGGCTACAATTCAGAGCGGAGTCTTATTTAACATGCAATGTCCCAACCAATTAAACAGTAAATAAATAAATAAATAAATACAAATTAATAGCATTTTAAATCGATTCTTGAAAAAGTTGTCAAATAATGTTTTACTTTAAACATCATTACAGTGCTATTTGGCCTTTATACACATAATCAAAAGCAGTTTTTTCATTGATTCCCTCAAGCTAACCTCTTTCATTTTCATTCTCGAGAAGTCATAGATGTGGACCCCAGCAAAATGCCTGGGTCCACATCTATGACACGCACAACATATGACAAGGATAATGGAGAAGCCCACCTCCGTGCTTAAAATAGTTCTAACATAATGTCAAAACAGGGAAAACAATACATAATGAATATGTTGTTTGCCGTTATACAAAATCCAGGAGGTGATTGATCAATCACCACCTGTGAATGAGAGAGCACAGCCTCTCCCAAGTCCAGGGTATGGTTCTGCGTCCACCACAGTCATGGGGCTGTACTGTTTTTCTGATATTGTCAGCGGCTAACAGTGTTAGCGTCATGTCAACTTGGAAAAATTTGTTTTTGGTAGGGGTGGGCGATATGGACAAAAATCTCGATACTTTTTTCCCCAACTCCCGATAACGATATTGTTGCGATATCTTTAAAATCAATCATTTTTACACACGAGGATCTGTCATGTTTTGCTGCCAGGGCATCTATAGATATAGACATTGTGGATCTAAATATAAGCTTTTTATTTGTAACGTGCTTAACACATCTTTGCAAAAAATATATTAACTAGTGCTGTCCAAAATATTGCGTTATTAACGCGTTAACGCAAATCAATATTAACGGCGTCATTTTTTGTTATCGCGCAATTAATTTTTTATTTTTTATTTTTTTACTTTTTATTGCAGACAAACACATATACAGAAAAAAAATAGAAACAAAGAAAAGGACTAGTTCAGATACATTGTAGACAGAGATTACAAACAATATGTAGTTGGAGATACAGGGGGCCAAAGAAGAAACCCAGAAGGGCACATAGGAGAAGTGTTGTGCGTGAACGAGTTCAAAAGAACGTGTTCATTGAACACGCTCATTTTTTCGTGAACATTGAACTGAACGCAACACATTTTTAAAAAAAGAACTTGAACGTGAATTAGTTCATTTTATGTGTCATGAACGGCAGACATCACTATGAACGTTGGAATCCGTTTTCTCTTTTAAAACGCAACGAGAGAAAGTTCCTCCCTCCTGTATTCTCACACTTTTTCCGCCAAAATCTAAACATTCCTACGGTTTCCACCGTCTGTGAACGCACCCCGACTCCGTGTTGCGGTGCGGCGCTGTGAGCTGGTGCTTTTCACATGTGCCCGAGTCGTGATGAAAACACAGGGTGAGTTAGCGACAAAGTTTACACCGTTTACATTTGACATAAAGTATAGACACACGCACTGCAGCGCATTACTGTCTGTAGTTTATGAGCAGAGATGGAGCAACTCCGTTTTGCTCCCATTGAAAACCATGTAAATCTTGTCTGTTTTGTAGTCAAAAGGCTCTCCTCCTGTGGGTGTACAGGAGATATATATATATATATATATATATATATATATATATATATATATATATATATATATATATATATATATATATATATATATAGATAGCTCGTAGTGTGAAAAAAATATGTATTTATCTCACGAAAAAAGTAAAATGAACTGAACTTTGAACTAGTTCAGAATTAAAAATGTGAACGTGTTCTGTTCACTTTGAGCATGTATGAACTGAACTTGAACTAGTTCAGAAAAGCTGTGAACTGGCACAACACTGCATAGGAGGGGGGGGGGGGGGGGGGGACATGAAGTGGAAGATGGGGGGGAGGGGTTAATAAAAAAGGCAATACAAGCAAACAGGATACAGTCATAGATATACCGAAAGTAAACAGAGAAACAGCATAGAGGATTTACATGAACAAATTTACAAAATATTTACAGATTGTTTATCATCATCATAATGATAGATCAAATTGATCTATTTGATCTATGCTTTTAACATTTCATTTCATTTTCATTTCATTTTCAACCCCTTTGTCCATTTCTGGGTCGGGGGGTGGCAATGAGAGCTGCCACCCAACGCTCATAGCACCAGTCCCTCGCTGATCTTCTGCAGGGGGTGAGTCCACAGGAAGATGGCTGCTCCGTCAATTGTGAAACAGCCTTGATCTTTCAGCGGGGGGCTTCAGGCAATGTGGGGTTAAGTGTCTTGCCCAAGGACACAACGACAGCAGTCATCAGTGGGAGCAGTTGGAGTAGGTCCCATGGTGGGAATCGAACTCACGACCTCCAGGCCCAAAGGCCAATGCTCTACCAACTGAGCTACTGCCGCCCCCTTTTAACATTATGGTAGTGAATTCATGTATTGTATTGAATAATGTACTGTATTAATGAATGTATTGATTTTTTTGTTTTTTTATTTTATTTTATTTTTTGTAATACAGTCGTCTTAACTGGGACCCCAGGAAGATTAGCAACCACTTTGGTGGAAGCTAATGGGGATCCCCAATAAACAAATAAACAAATAAACAAAATAATGACACCATGATGTTTCTATACAGTCTATGGTCTATACCCACACATACACACACCCCCACACAAATGTGTGACTAATTTGCGATTAATCGCGAGTTAACTATGACATTCATGCGTTTAATCGCGATTAAATATTTTAATCGTTGGACAGCACTAATATTAACATTAAAAATCCAATTCAAGTAACACAGAAAGAACACATCCAAAAAGGCTCAATATTTACTGAAATGTACAAATAAAGCAGTGATTGGCTTGTAAGGCACACATTAGACCAAATGGGCATCTGTCCTTCTCTAATTGTAATATGTATGTTAAAAGAAAAAGGACGATAATACAAAAAAGCATATCTTCAAATTGACTTTCACGATATTATTGTCTACGATATATTTTGCCCACCCCTAGTTTTTGGGTGTAAATATGTCACGATTTAAATATTATTATAATTTCACACAGTTCTTTATTACAATTCCAGTATGACAGTGAAGAGGACAGTACAATATCACCCATCCCTAGATGCCACATCTGCCCTGTGGCAGACTGACAGAATGATCACCACCAATGATGCACACACCCCAGACTTGTACTTCAATGTGGGTGAAGTGTTATGCCTCAGGACATGACGAGTGCAGCACTTCTCTGCCTCAGGGATCCGTCCCACTGTGGTAACTGGTGTTGCCGCCGGTCTCCCATCACTGTAGTAACCAAGCCCCAGCTCAGCTTCTGAGGTCTGACAGGATCTGGTTCTGACGAGCAGCTATTTAAACATGTATATCTAAAGATGCAATTTATTTCCCTTTTTATTGTATGATTGGCCAATTAGGCAGAGGAAAATATTATTCAACTAGGGTTACAAAGCATTTTGTTTATAGAATAATAATTTAAAAAAAACATTTTTGATTAATCAAACCATAATCAATACATTTGTTGATGTTTAATTAATTTATGGATTAAATTAATAATAAAATAACCATTATCTGAAGTTCAGCCCAAATAGATTCTAACCTCAGTGTTTTTACGTCCTCTCAGCCTCATAGTTGTATGTGATTTGTGCACTTGTGTGTGTGATGTACTGGTAAGTATGACTGTGTCTGTGGGTTGTTTGAGGTGGGTTTGTATGTTGTTTTAACAAACTGTGAAGCATGTTGTGTTACATTTTTTATATGAAAAGCACTCTACAAATAAAGACTGAATGGTTGATTTGCTCTGTGGTGTACTATACACGCCTTTTTAAATGTATTAAATCTATGTCACGCCTTTTTAATCTTTACATGTAAATGTTGTGACATATGCTTTAAAAGTTTATGATATTTAGAAAAGTAGGTTGGTTGCAGCAAGGAGAAACATTAGGAGACAAGATTTACTTACAGCATTCCAAGAACTGCTTCAGCCTTTCAAAGACTGCATTCAGGAAGCCCTGTGAGAGGTGAGAAGGTGAGATCCTAATACAGTCCGACGGGTTTATTAGATCAAGAGCATTATCAAAGGAAGAACAACAGTTCAAAGTGTGCATCAGCAGGAATGTGTTTACATAATCTGAACAGCAACAGTATATAAAAGAGAATCCATTATGCAAATTCAACATTGCAAACATCATAAAAAGAAAAAGCAAAGAGCAACTTTTCTATGCATTCGAACAGAATAATAAATAGATCATTACAATAGTCAAATTATTTGAGATCAACTTCTCAAAGACGTTACTTTGTAATTAAAGTACAGGAGCATGAAAGGGTTTATTCTCTGTGTAGGATTCATCATCTATTCCATCACTACTTAGTGGCAGTGTCACCATGAACACTCACAAGATTAGAAGACTAGAAAAGTGTTGACAGCTTCCAACACATCTGCAGAGGGCGCAAAAGAAAGATGTTTGCAAAGTGCTGTATATAAGCACATTCATAAACATATTAGTAGAAGTTGATTATTTTCTTCATGCCAATATGTACACCTAGGGCTGGGCGATAAAACGATAACGATATATATTGCGATAGACATGTGTTCAATATCAATAGAGAATGGGATCGATAGAATGTTCGATAGTTTAACTTAACTCCGTCAGGAAAAACAGGAAGAAAACACCGGAAGTAAAGCCGACTCATAAGCGCACGGCATTGTGGGGGATGAAGGCAGAGGCTTCTCGACCAATAACAGCGGAGCAGGAACCGCAAAACTTTCTGGGAAATGCAAAAACACCAACAACCGCACCATGCGTAACCCTTAGGGTTATCTTTCTGACTTTTATGTTGTTATTGTTATTGTATTGTTTGTGTAAATGTTGCATAATAAAGAAGAAAAAAATAAAAAATAAATTAAAAAAAAACCAGGACTAACGAGGGACACAGTGTGAACATATTCCTCCAGCCTCATTCCCCCGTGACTGTAAAGAAGGCTGCTAAGGTTGGTTAGCCCACACGACAAATGTATTTATTTAGGTAAAAAAAAAAAAAAAACTAAATATATATCGTTATCGACCGATATGAATGACTTATATCGTGATATAGTTTTCAGCCATATCGCCCAGCCCTATGTACACCAGATCTCAGAGGAAGGAAAAAGTGTAGAAAAAAAGTCGCAAGGATAACTGCAGTCTGCAGAGTATAGTCAGGAAAGGAACATTCAGAAATGTAAGGGACCTTCTCAAGGAGTGGACAGAGACACTTTCAATCACCTCAGCCAACAGAGATACGACATCATGCTCTACAAATATTATACAGACAACTTACCATTAATTCCATATTCTTTTGAGGTTCTGGAAATCCATGGACAGTCAACTTTCGTAGAACTAAAGGATGGAAAAAATAAAGATAGAGGGTATGAACAAATCAAAAGGACCTATACACTGTGAGTGTAGATAGATAGATACTTTATCGATCCCCGTAGGAGAAATTCAGGTGTCCAGTAGCAGCAAAACCCATTCATCCACACAAACAAAACAAATAAATTGATCATTCTAAAAAACTAACCAGTCCTTTTTTAATTGTTGTGCATGAACAACTACAATCACATCTTAAACAGAAGGAAGTTCCAGTCACCACACAAGTCAGATGCCAGACTTTTTTAATAAGTTGCATTTAACTTTTAAGTTGTATTCATTTAGTATGTAAATTTGTCTGTGAGAAACAGTAATGTTTATGAGCATCAGAGTAAAAAGGTTTGTGTTGTACCTTTGAGTGAGAGCAGGGTCCTCTCCAGTGAACTGAGCGCTGGCCCCTCCTCTCTGGCGTAGATCTGCTGGAGGAAGCAGTCTGTGTGGTGGCTCCACAGGGAACATGCAAAGCTGTAGATGCTCGATGCCAGCTGCCAACACAGACAAATGGCACAGTCAATAACACATGAAAATATGGTTATGTAGAACAAAAGAGAATTTATAAAATACTCAGGTACATCGTGTTAAAGTATTCAATCAGAAGAGTTAAGTATAATTTAGAACAGTGGTTCTCACTGGCCTAAATACAGATCATTCAAATCTGTATTTACAACAAGGCAAAGAGAAGAACTACGAAGAAGTAAAATTTCCCTTTATTTAGGATTTCAAATTTAAGGAAAACAAATTATTTCCAACAGCACAAAAGCCTGGAAACTCGGGTCAACATTTCGGCATGGATTTGAAGACCAATCACAGAACGGGGATGGGGGATGAAAAGCGGGTGACGATGACGCACTATTCCACAGACAGAAGGCTGTAATTGTTTATAGAGCCATATGATGGCAGCAGACGAGATGCAGTATCTTCCCTCATGTTTAACTTGCACAAGCAGCACCATTGTGTAAGAAGATTGTCTTTTTTACATATTCCCTTCTTATTGAACTTCTGCTGTGCAACATATGTTGTCAAATTAACGTAAACCAGATCTATCCTACAAACAAATGAATGGAGGGTTATCAGGCTAGTCTGGTGTTAGCCAGGCTAAGCTTTTGTAGAATGTTTTAAAAACACCTCCCTCCAGGGGTGGGTAATCATGATCACATTGCGAAATTGTGCCATAACCATTTTATGTAATTATATTGCAATTAAACTACAACTACTTGAAAATACATATAATCCAATTGATGTGCTGATTACTGATTCCAATATCAGTGGAATGTCCTTCTTCTAATATTGGTTCAAATTGAATGAATGTGTTTAGTATTGAATTTATTTAAGCAACAGGAATCATAATTCGCAATCCTCACTGAAAAAGCACTCTCGCTGAGGCGTGAACTGTGATGCAGCAATGATGGCACTTGGGGCATAATTTCCAATTCCAACAGTGCTCCACAGAGAATTTAACACACTACACTGGAGTAGACTTCACAAAAAGGAGTTCAGAAGTCAACAGCACTGTTGTACGAATTTGAGATGGAACAAAAATGCCATTGCATGTATTTAATATTGAAATAATATGTATGGCTCAAAATGAAATGTACAAAAACTGTCAAAAGAAGTTTTGACATTTGATTGATGGACAGTCTACAGTAAATTATAGGGACAGTAAGTGAGATTTTAATTTACATGTACACATTTCATCTGTGTATTGAGACCTTTTGCCACTTTCCCCTCCATAGACAAGTACAACCAAAAAGTTCTATTTTGGTCTGATCTGTCCACATGACATTCTCCCAGGCCTCTTCTGGGTCATCCAGATGGTCACTGGAAAAATATAGAAGGGCCTGGACCATGGACCTATAATAATAACTGGATAGGGTATTACTAGCCGTGGGGGCGCCCGTGGGGGCCCCATAGAACTCAATGTAAATTAAAACAGCTCGACCTCAGCTGACAGGGAACCTACAGCTTTCAGAAATATCGGATTTTGTTGGGATTTTAGTGTCCCTTGTCATCCTGAATTTTTGTCTTCTTAAATCCTTCGGTTTTCTTTAAATCCACACTTTACTGCCACAAACTCTGCTCCTTTCCTTCCCGCTCTGACTTCGCTCTGCTGCTGCTCAGCAGCTCTGATTGGTCAGAGCGCGGCCAAGCCCCTCTGTGCGCGTGCATGAAAGCCACTCATGCGTATTCGGCGCAACACATCATGGGAGCTCGTTCACTGCGCAGAACCGGGAGGACCAGACGATTCCCAAATTTAGGCGAGTTCTGCTTATCTCCCGGTCTCCGTGAAGTGCCATGCGCTACTGAGCACAAGCCATTCATTTGAATAGAGCGCCATCTTGGATCAAGGGCTTGGCCTGGACACAAGCTGGCTTCAACACTGGGACCTTTTTCAACGCTGCATATTCCAGGGAATACCACACCATATGGGGTTAGAAACATTACGGCTTGGGGTTGTTTTTTCTGCAGAGGAGATAGGACAACTGATCCCTTTAATGGAAAAGATTCTTTCTTCCATCTTCCAACTTTCTTCCATCGGTGACGGCATTGAAGATGAAACGTGGCTGAGCTTACCGACGGCCAAATACTTTTGCCGGCCTGTAGGCTGTAGTTAAAAAGTAAATTTCATCCAAAACGCCAATAATCACACAGGTAGCAGGGACAAAGCGGTTTTGTGGAAGTAACTGTTCTCCAAATCGGTTAAAAAGTCATGTAGAAAATAGGACAATTCTACCCTGCTCGCAACACTCGCTGTTGTATACAGAGGACTCACGGCCTCAGAGAAATAAAAAACGAACAATGGCCAATAAACAAAATTGTGGGCAGGTTAACTCTTGTATACCAGTAAGAGTTCAAGATTAATGATAAATGTACTATGCCCAGAGGCCAAAGCAAATTAGCCTTAAGACTCACAGGCTGCTACAAACAGTGCACAGACAACAGGAAGAACGAGTACTTACACCGGTTGAGGCATTCTTTCCTATATATATTTACTATTATTATTATTTTTTTAACCCTTGCACTCACTCAAGCTATAATTATCTTTTCTGTAAGGATGAAAAGCAACCTACTTTAGTTTTTATATGCATGAACTAAACAATGGTTAACAATGGTATATTAAGCTTTTTGACTTTTCTCTGGTTTAAACATGTTTACAGTGTTACAGTGCCTTGCGAAAGTATTCGGCCCCCTTGAACCTTTCAACATTTCGCCATATTTCAGGCTTCAAACATAAAGATATAAAAATTATATTGTTTGTCAAGAATCAACAACAAGTGGGACACAATCGTGAAGTGGAACAAAATTTATTGGATAATTTAAACTTTTTTTAACAAATAAAAAATTGAAAAGTGGGGCGTGCAATATTATTCGGCCCCCTTGTGCTAATACTTTGTAGCGCCACCTTTTGTTGCAATTACAGCTGCAAGTCGCTTGGGGTATGTCTCTATCAGTTTTGCACATCGAGAGACTGGAATTCTTTCCCATTCTTCCTTGTAAAACAGCTCGGGCTCAGTGACGTTGGGTGGAGAGCGTTTATGAACAGCAGTCTTCAGCTCTTTCCACAGATTCTCGATTGGATTCAGGTCTGGACTTTGACTTGGCCATTCTAACACCTGGATACGTCTATTTGTGAACCATTCCATTGTAGATTTGGCTTTATGTTTTGGATCATTGTCCTGTTGGAAGATAAATCTCCGTCCCAGTCTCAGGTCTTTTGCAGACTCCAACAGGTTTTCTTCCAGAATGGTCCTGTATTTGGCTCCATCCATCTTCCCATCAATTTTCGCCATCTTCCCTGTCCCTGCTGAAGAAAAGCAGGCCCAAACCATGATGCTGCCACCACCATGTTTGACAGTGGGGATGGTGTGTTCAGGGTGATGAGCTGTGTTGCTTTTACGCCAAACATATAGATTTGCATTGTGGCCAAAAAGTTCGATTTTGGTTTCATCTGACCAGAGCATCTTCTTCCACATGTTTGGTGTGTCTCCCAGGTGGCTTTTTATGGATATCTTTGAGAAATGGCTTTCTTCTTGCCACTCATCCATAAAGGCCAGATTTGTGCAGTGCACGACTGATTGTTGTCCTATGGACAGACTCTCCCACCTCAGCTGTAGTTATCTGCAGTTCATCCAGAGTGATCATGGGCCTCTTGGCTGCATCTCTGATCAGTCTTCTCCTTGTTTGAGATGAAAGTTTGGAGGGACGGCCGGGTCTTGGTAGATTTGCAGTGGTCTGATACTCCTTCCATTTCAATATAATTGCTTGCACAGTGCTCCTTGAGATGTTTAAAGCTTGGGAAATCTTTTTGTATCCAAATCCGGCTTTAAACTTCTCCACAACAGCATCTCGGACCTGCCTGGTGTGTTCCTTTGTCTTCGTGGTTCTCTCTGCGCTTTAGACATAACCCTGAGACTATCAAAGAGCAGGTGCATTTATACGGAGACTTGATTACACACAGGTGCATTCTATTTATCATCATCAGTCATTTAGGACAACATTGGATCATTCAAAGATCCTCACTGAACTTCTGGACTGAGTTTGCTGCACTGAAAGTAAAGGGGCTGAATAATATTGCACGCCCCACTTTTCAGTTTTTTATTTGTTAAAAAAGTTTAAATTATTCAATAAATTTTGTTCCACTTCACGATTGTGTCCCACTTGTTGTTGATTCATGACAAAAAATTAAAATTCTATATCTTTATGTTTGAAGCCTGAAATGTGGCAAAATGTTGAAAGGTTCAATACTTTCGCAAGGCACTGTATTTGGCCTTCATACCCAGAGTAGATTTTCATGGATTCCCTCAAGAGTTAATAAGAGAGCGATCTTTCTCTTTCATTCTCGAGAGGCACAGAAACGAGCCGATTCAAATCGTGACGTGGCGCAATCCGTGACTTCAAAAGCCCGCCTCCAAGAGGTGATTGACAGCGGGGAGAATCTGAACCAGCGAATCAGCGCCATCTATGGTCAGCGCATGCAGCCTCTCTCAGAGTCCAACGTGTGGTTCACGTAAATAAGCGCCTGTGCTTTTTTGTGTTAGCTTCATGTCAACTTGGACAAAATGTGTTTTTGGTGTAAATATGAGACGAGAGTATTTGACCCCAAGACGGAGAATGAGGGGAATGGGGATTGGCTTTGTTCACGGGGATCTTCCTTTAATCTGCGCGTCTGAAATCCGCGCGTGACGGTGACACCAACTAAGACAGTTCCAGGACTATGGCTATCTTGAAACAAGAGTTACCCAAAAGCTGATCTGGAAACCTGGTGTTATTCGCAACATTAAAGACGCTAACAGGAGCCTCGGTCTGTGAGTACAATGCAACTAAGGTCTGATTCTGAATCAAGGACATAGGGTTCTATGTGACAGATTGCCTTTGTTGTAAAAAGTTTATTCTCAGGTCTGAAATGACTAACAGCGAAAGCTGTACGATTAGCTTTTGCTGACTTGTTTAGTCAGGTTTGCTGACTTGTCTGTCAGGTGAGGTGGGCTCACAGACAGAGGAGCACAGATCAGCTCGTTTCACCACACCAAGCTATGTGTTCACTGAATGTGTACTCCACACAGAAAATGGTTATACATTGCCTGCAAACTCATGGGAAAAAAAATTGCTAAAACTGCTCTTAAAGTTGCCGGGTACTGTTATTCGGTAAGGACCGTGGCACAGTTAGGTGGACAAATGACAGGACCTTGGTTTAGCATGGATCGTTTAATGTCAGCATCATTAATAATTTCAGACCGCCTTTTATTAGGCCTCTCTCAGCTCTTGAGTCGATATCGCCCGAGGTCAATGATAACAAACTGCTGCGTGAAATCACAATATTTTGTATCCACAGCTTATTGAACAAGGGTCCTGAGCATCGACATGCACCAAGCTTTTCTTTATTCAGTGAGGTTTTTCTGTGTTTTGTTTTTACGAAACGTTAACTTCCATAAAAAGCCTTCTCAATCTACACGTCGGTCCTGTGACCAGAAAAGTCTATTTCCAAACACGTCAATCACAGGTGAACCATGCATGAAGCAGACAAGTGGCCACACGCTCCCAGCACTGTTGAAGCACGGCTCAATAGCATCACCAGCAGGTTATGTGTGGCTCTCAAACAACAAAGAATTTTTTTTTTCCAATAGAAAGACATTTAAACATATACATACAGAGCAACTAAACTACTGCATGAAATAACTTTTTGGTTTTCCTCAATGTCTGAAAGTAAATCAAATAAAAAGTCCTCTATTTTAAGTCACTCACGATTGTGTCTATTTGCGCAATGTCAAAATATTAAGTGAGATTTTACAGATAGTTCTTATGTTCTACAACATAATAGGTTAATCATGATCTCTGTGCTTAATGTGCCTAAATGTGCCACGGTCATTTGTTCAAACAATCTTATTAAAATATGAAGACCATGGGAACGTCCAGTTATCATGCTGCTCAGGAGGAAGACAGGTGTGCCTTTTTTTTGTCTGAAATGTGCACATATACCGCAGAGCAGAATCTAAAGCCATGAAGAGGTTGACTGAAACAGGCTGAATGTGTCATTATCCAAAATGGACACTGAGCAAGGAAGAAGCCATTACTCACAATAAACATAATCAGGTCATGTTACTATGTGTAAACAAACATGAGCAAAAAATGTGTGAAAATGTGTGGGCAGATCTCAAAAGGCAAGGAAGAGCCAGGAGGATTACAAACTCGACTCAGTGAGTAATAGCACTGTAAGCTGAGATTCAAATCGGCAAACCCATAAATGAGTCAAGCTCGAGTGACCACAGAGTATTGAATAATTGAATAAACTGAAATTAATGGCAGACCTACCTCCTGGAACAGCCTCCTGTCTGGGGCCAGGCACTTTGAGGCCAGGGTTTTGGTGACGTGGTAGAAGGTGAGCAGAGCACGCTGCTGCTGGAGGCTGTCCTGACCCTTCACAGACTCCAGCAGGATGGGGATGAGCTCAGGCCAATGTCGCGGGCAGTCCAGGCGCGCCACCTTAGCAATCAGCACAGCAATCTGTGTAGCGATCTGCCAGTTCAGAATGAGAAAAGTGTTACTTCGAAATGATACATGTCTTAATTATTTAGTAAATAAATCATTATGATCATCAGTGTGAAGAATACAAATTAAGATAGGTGAATACTGGAGTCATATACTTTATATTTAATGTCCATATAAGGACATTTATGGACATTTATTAACATGTATCACTAGGGCTGTCAAACGATTAACATTTTTAATCAAATAAACTATAGCTTAAAAATGTATTATTCGTAATTAATTGCATTTCGAACTATCGGCAAAATTATGCCATATTTTTCTGTAAATGGTTGTTTGAATCAGTCCTTTATTAACCCATTGGCTCTAATTATTGCATTTCCTGTGATTAAACTGTTAAATACTTTGATCTGTTTTGGCAAATCAACAACTTAAATGCTCTGAGATGATTACTGTTGTGACTTAAGGCTATACTAAAATAAATTGAATGGTATTTTGTTATTTTTAAATCAAATGTTTTTGGCTTGTAAATAGAAAATTAACCGATATTTAATTTTAAAAAGTACACAGATCTAATGAGCAGTTACGTTCCTGTATGAAGTCCTGATATCAACTATTATGAGTGTAAATAATAATAAAATGGTGCGCGTATCCAAATCTGTGTAATTCGAATTACTGGCATATAATTAGCAATGACATTTGTTTTCATCTCTGAAGTGAGAGGTCAAAGAAAGAGGCCATCTGATTAACAGCACTGTGTTTTCAGCATGACATTAGAGTGCATTTAGGAAGTATGCGACCCCCCCTCACCTTTCCTACATGTTATGTTAAAGCCTGAATCCAAAATGGATTAGATTTTTTTCTAAATTAATAAATCTACTTGCACTAACCAAAATGTGAAAAAAAGATTTGAGGCAAGACTTCTTTTGTGCACTTAGTACTAGAGAAGGGGAAAATTTCCGATTCTTAAGATGAATCAGTTTGGCCGTGGAAGAATCGAGAACGATTCACAAACATCCAAATTCCGATTATTTAAATATGCCAAGTAAAGCAGAACTGAAATACAGCAAGCGCGGTCTTCGAAACACTATAGGGAACGGACCGAGAGTGCGCATCCACAACAAGCATGGCTGAGCTAACCAACCCACCTTGCTTCGTACACCACACTTTTTCATACAATATGGAAATTAATTTAACTCTGGAAATGTGGAAAAAAATGCATCAATATCGTTTTATAATTGCATCGCAGCCTCTGTATTGTAATCGAATCGTGAGGTGCCCCAAGATTCCCACCACCTACTTAGTACATAAACCGCTTCACTGGTGGTGAGCAGCTAGGAGGCCTGTCTGGGTTTGGTTACCGTGGGAGATCAGGCAGCGGGAGCTACCTTTTGGGTCCTATACAGTATACAGAGGAGGCTGCGTTTGTGCTCCCGTTTTTGCTCCGTTTGCATGACAGAGCGCACGGACTAAGACCAGACAGGTACATATTAACTAGTCTAAGGTAAGGTAAGAACATATGTCAGTATGTAAAAACGGTGAACTATTCCTTTAAAGAAAACCTGCTGTCTGCAACTTCAACACAAGCTATTCATCGAGGTAATTAAAAAGGCTTCTAAGGGCCAAAATTGGGATCAAAATAACGTTATACCTGATTGACAGGTTCGTTGAAGTTTGTGATCAACCCGGCACGTAACGATGTCTTCTCCTCCTCTGACAATGCACTGAAAAACAAGCCAATCAAAAGGAAAGCACTATTAACAAGTAGGTCAGAGGGAGAGCAGGGACACAGACAGCACATGTGGCTAGAGAATGCAGGCTTTTAATATTATCTTCAAAAGACAGTGTAGCGCTTGGCTGCATGATAAAAAAGTGCACTCTAAACTTATGACATTTTTTACAGGGATAAGTTATAAATTAGTTCTCTGTTCAAGCTCTATGCTCAAACACAGACACCCCCCAGCCCCCCACTGATTCCTCGGCTTGTGGTCCTGAAAGAGAGACATTTTTTGGGTGCCGGTGAACAGTTACTAATCCAAATAAAAAAAATTATGGTTCTACTGGTACCAAAAAACAATGAAACCCCGGCACTTTGCCCCAGTATAATTTTTGGCCATTAGTACAGGTCACATGTATCAACCCAAATCCATGTTCAAAGAGCTGTGGATAGGCTGCTTATGAGACCTCCCTCCCTCCATCGCTCAGCACACACACACACACACACACACACACACACACACGAACACACAAACACACTGTGGACAGCCCTTGTGCTCCAGACAGTACTTAAACTTAAATTATTATTTCCTAAACTGTGGGGTTTTTTTTCTCCATTTTGTATTTTCATACATTTCTTTATGTCTTGGATTCTGTGTCAGTGTGCATGTTCCTTCTTTGAAAATAGAAAAATTGCAATTAGAACAAATAAGTTTAAAAAAAGATCAAGCCTTTATTATTCTGGTGACCGTTAGTAGCAAATAGAGACTAAACAGACATTTACATAACATCTTATATCTAATCTAAGACATATAGCCCAGATTACGACCTTGACAGCTGACAGCAATATATGCATGTGTCAAATACATTTAATTTGAAAATCAACAACTGAGAAATGCCCACATGTTTGTAGATAAAGCCATATGTTGCTCTGAACCAGGTCAAGATCTTGTCTAAACCAGGACTAAACTGCATGCATGAATAGGTTCAGTCTATAGAAGAGTGAATAATAACCCACCCCCATTGGCATAATAAAACATCATATTCCAAATACTGTGAACAAAGATGTCAATTAGTTATTCTGCCAAGGTGCCGTGGCATCAATTGAACCAGTAAGCCCGGAGAGAACGCCTCTACTTCTCATACTGTATAGTTTCTTTCATTACATGACATGGGTATACAAATCGTGACGTGCATATGTTTGCTTCAATAAATTGTACTATACCACAGAAGAGCCATGAGTGGGTGAGTGAGTGATGAATCATGCCTCTATCCAGTGGCGGCTGGTGGAATTTTCTACTGGGGGGGCTATGAATATGATGACTAGATATATACCAGCAGTAAGTAAGTTTACACTGACTGTTGTGACTGAAGCCTCACACGAGAATCGCAGGGCAAGTTCAAATGCACCACAGAATTTGACACAGTCTATTATTTTTGATAGGATGTGCCTATTCTTGTCAACCTCCTCATTGTGCTTTCTGATCCCTACCCTGTAGCTTTCATCCAGCTGGGATGAAATATTTATCTTCCCAAACATAGCTAATTTGAGGGCATTTTGCATGTGGATACCAGTCTGCTCATGCTTCTTTGCCTTTTCTAAAAAGTGCTTCAGATCAGTCATACCCGTCTTGATCCATGCTGGGTCAGATCCTGATGTTTGAAACAAGAGGCATGGAAAGCAAAATAAAGCATTAGCCTCGCTACATGCTGCTAGCCAAGATTTGGCGCTGAACCAGGTCCTGGAAAAAGTACGAGTGTACGTCTCCCCCTGTCGCTGGACTGCTGACTAATGGTAATATTTGGCTGATCAGGTCCAAGCTCTTTAACCTCAACCTTCTCCTGGTATGGTATGATCTTCTCTCAAACGGTATTGTTTTGAGTGATCTAACTGAATTATTCTTTTTCTCGTTCTCCATTTTGCGTCTCTTTACGTTCGTCTCAAACTCCCACAGCTTGACCTGTCAATCACTGTAAACGGACGTCACAGACAGTGACAGTACAGGTCGCGGGCGATCCCGCCCCCTCAGGGCGCACTTCTCCTGCGCCCCCAAATCGTCTTATCTCTTGCATTGAAGAGGAGCTACTGCGCATGTCCAACTTTTAACGAGAGTCCATAGACGGCTCAGGGCGCAATCTTTTGCGCCCTGAGGCGGAAATACGTCCTCAGTCCGACACAGACAACGCTGATGAGCTTAATCAATCCAACTCAGCATAAACTATAAAGTATTTCTTCCACATCTGAAATAAAACACACATACATTTCGAAATATTTTAATGTTATTATTTTTTTTAACGTTTTATTCAAGGTAACATGGCAAGTTGTGAGTGGTGGGGCGGCGCCCTAGCGCCCTCTATTGGCCGGCCGCCACTGCCTCTATCCCTGGGCGAAAAGAGTTAAAGAAGGAGATACAGAATAACTACTGAGGAGGGAAGGGGGGGATTAGCAAAACAAAATTTACCATGCCTATATTTTGGGTATCTAGCTCAGGGCGGAGGTTTGAAGAGATACAGAGAAAGTGCAGAGTAGAAAAAGAAATAAATTGCATTTGCGTTTCATATAGAATATGATATTGAGAAATTGCTGAAAATAAAAGAATAATGTTGGCACAAATGAATTAATAACTAAAGTAGATGGACTTTATTTATAAAACGCCTTTCACAGACCAGAGTCACAAAGCGTTTTACAATTTTTGTGGGAATTTGTTCTCGCACTCCACACATGGGAGTGGGTTTGCCATACACAACCCATTGTAGTATGCATTAGTGGTAAAACCTAAGCACCCGGAGGCAACCTACACAGAGAAAGGTCTAGAGGTGGAATCGAACCTAGGACCTGCTTGCTGTGAACTACAAGCCCAAAGCACTGCACCACCCTTCCAGTTGTAGAAACATAACTAAGGAAAAATCAGGTTTATAATTCAGTGGGGCAAAACATTTATTTGTAATTGGCAGCAGATTGTGCAAGTTGTCCCACTTGCCCTTCATGTTCATCATAGGTACACCTCAACTGTGAGTTTCAGTCTCTTTTTGCAGGGCTCCAAGGTACTTTCCAAAGTTTTATTTTCTGCTGGTCATGATCTCTGAGCCCTTGGCACTGCTCCAGGCCTGCTGCTTGATTGATCTGCAGGTGAAGAGGATGATGACGGGGCGAGTGCTGTACTGCTGCTCACTCTGTGGCACCTGCGTCATGTCCACTCGTCAGTGAAGCGTCCAGTGAGCCTCAGGTTCAAGCAGCGTCAGTAGCAGTCCATGTCCTCCGTCCTCTCCTTCAGGTCGCCGATCCTTTTCTTGTGGACCAGATTTACCAGTTTCACAGTTTCAAGAGGTAGCTTTCCATGAGTGCTTGAAAAAGCTCGACTACACAGCTTTGGTAATATTTTCAGTAAGTATCGTATATCGTAGTGTCCCCCTCATACTATGAGTGTAAAGCCTAGTGTATACTTGCGCGGCGCGGCTTACGTTAGTGGTTGCGGTGGACCTACGCAAGCACAATTTAATTTATACTCCTTGCGGAGTTTTGAGGAGAATGTTGTAATCCCACAACCAACCACATGATGGCGATCTCACAGGAGTTGCTTGAGAAACCAAAGCAGTCTCATTTACGATGCTACTTTCTCCTCTACAGAACAAAACATGAACTAACCGAGCTGTTTGAGATCATTACACGTGTTTCTACTGTAGGTTTATGTGATAGTTCTATGGACTCATTATTTCTTAACTCATTTAACTGTGATGTTGTGAATAAAGATACAGTTCTTGTTGGAAACATAGTTATTAAATTGTATTCATCACAAACAGCATACAAAAAGTGGTAAATATCTGAGGCAAACATGAACAATTTATAAGTGCAGGAGGAAAGGAACAGACGCGATAAGCTACGAGTGCAGATTCAGACAAAGACAGGAACAGTGCAAAAGAAACGACTGAACAGTTTATAAGTTATATTTATGTTAGATATGCAACAGAACTCTAGTCCACAGTCTCCGCGTATATCAGGCTCTGCCATGAGCCCAAACTACTTTTCCTTTGGTTCCTTCGAAGCTTGAAGCAGTTTGCTCCATAGTGCCTCATCCATTGTCCCTGCTGCTTCCTTCCAAAACACACACACGGACCAATCACAGCGGAGCTGCCTTGCGGCGACCCTTACGTAGTTAGAAAATTTTGATGCTGCGCGGCAGGCAACATAAGGGCCTTGCGGTGACCAACGCGTTGCGCAAGTGACGTCACGTCACCTCCGTAAGTTCCGCGCCGCGCAAGTATACCCTAGGCTTAAGTCTCACAAATGGGTCTTGTATATTTAGCCCATCATGTTCATTTTGCCCTTGTTATGGTTCTGGGGTCGCATTATCGAATTGGGCCCCGTTTGGCTGGTACCGGGGGGGGAGCAGCAGCTATATGAGGGCAGCTCTTGTCTTTACCTCAGTCCCTTGGTCTCTTCTTGGACATCCTCCCGACTGCAATGTGAGTAAAAAGAGCTCCAATTCACAAGACAGGGAAAGTGGAGTTCAATATAGTTTCCACCTTACATATTCCAAAGGTCAGCGATGAAGTTTAAAGTGCACAAATCAGCACTTTTACTCAGCAGCACTCAGGGTTAGACGCTCCGCCATCGTGGCCTCGTCCAACAACAGTATATCAGACACACCTAATGTTAATAGATAATAATAATAATTTTTTGTTCGGTAAAAAACTGCTGTGTGTTCCTCATTTTAGATCAATCTAATGCCATTGTAACACCATTCCAGGCAAAATAAAAACATCTAATTGGAGACAAGCAGCAGATGACAATACGAAAGTTACACTTAACTTGTTAACCTACTAAGTATATAAATATAACAGGTCAGATTAATAATGAATTTGATAGAACAAACTGCAAGGACATAATACATAAATTTGTGGCACAACAGTATTCTAACCAAAATAAATGTGGCTACAAATGCGCAAAAATAGGTTTGCAAAACCTGGAGAAGCCGAGAGGAGATTAGCACTGATCAATGGATAGAGAAGACAAAGGCTGGAGGAACACAGATAAGCAGTGAAAGGAAACAAAAATACGAGGGGACACTGCTACTTACTGCGGCGCTACCCTCCTCCAGTATCTGTCAATCCCATTTTTGAAGTACAGCACAGCCAGCCACCTGACATTTACATCAAGCATGTGGTTGTTGACTATATTCTGTAAAGAAAAAAAGGAAAGAACAGGAAATGATTTCAGTGTGTTTAATTTAATTAGCATATGAATGTTTGGTGCATTGTAGGTTTTTCTTTTCAAAATGTATTTACAGGACATAAATTAGGGGCAACAGTGGCTCAGTTGATAGAGCATTGGCCTTTGGGCCTGAATGTCGTTGGTTTCGAGCCCACCACAAGACATACTTCACGACTCCCAATGATGTCTGCTGCCGTTGTGTCCTTGGGCAAGACACTAAACCCCTCTTTGCCTGAAGCCCCTGCTGAAAGATCTCAGCTGCTGAAAGATCTCAGCTCCTGTGGACTCACCACCTGCAGGAGGATCAGTGAGGGGCTGGTGCTCTGTGTACTGGGTGCAGCTCGGACCCCCTCCCGGCAGTATATTCACTTCCTGTACCAGACCCTCAGAAAGTACCAACATCATTCTGCATTTTAACAGCAGCTGTGAACATGGGAACTGAACCTAGAGCTTCGCGTGGTCTCGTTTGGATGAACGAAGGAGTAGAATTATCCTCTGTGCCGCGCTGGAAGCCCACGTAGCTAGTTAGTGCGCGCGGCGCCATTGTTGTTTTTGTTTGTTCTCTGCTACGTGCGGGGAGCAACGCGGAAGTGGGGGTCAGAGCAGAAGGGGATTTCACACCTTTTCCCCTTTCGCAGGTGTGAAAGAGCTCCCCGCTGTGCAGCGTATCTGAGTTGTCCCACTTTGCAGGCTGGATCTGAACACTTACGTTTTGACCCCTTTGGAACACATTCTTCGTGTGAACGGTTGGTAGCAACCGACATCCAACTATACCAGGCATGTCAAAGTCAAATACATCAGAGGGCCAAAAAAACAAATTTGCTGCGAGCCGAGGGCCGGACTGGTTCAATGTTTATTAACTCATTGACTGCCAGCCTATTTCAGAACAGGTACTCCCATATTGCCAGCAGTTTCTGATGATTTTTATAGATTTTTCAAGACCCACAGAATATTGGATACTATGACTATCTGAAATCCGAAACCAGATTCTGAAAGAATAGACTGTCTACTTTCATCAGCAAAAATAATTTTATTTCTAGTTTGTAATCCCCAGTTGAGTAGAGGGAAGTTTTACTGAAATCACCAAAAAGCTGAGAAAAAAGAGGCACAACAAGTGCATCTAGCTGTTTTCAAACCATTCAGAGAGCGCTGCTGCCACCTGCTGGCTCAATTCAATATGCTCTCAAGCTTATCCCCAAACATATTAGATATAATAGACATCTGGGAACATGAAAATAGCGGAAAACGCAATTGACGTAATAGTGCGTCAAAGGCAGGCAACGGACCATGTAAAATTCATTCGCGGGCCGGATTTGGCCCGCGGGCCTTGACTTTGACACATGTGAACTATACCGTTTTACTGCCACATTGTCTCCGTGTAAACTCAGCCTCAAAGAATCATTTGAAGGTCCTGGAGTGCCCAAGCCAGTCCCCTGACCTCAACCCAATAGAAAATCTGAGGAGGGAGTCCAAAGTCCATATTGCCGCCAGCTTTGTATCGAGATGTATGGCGTGATCGGATGCATGTGTCTCATATTTTCCGGGTTATGCATTTGGCTTTCGGACTTTTACATTTTGGCATATAACTAGCTATAAAGCTCGGTCTGTAAACACAGCCAGAAATTGATATAATAATTGAATACATAGGGCACACCGGATGATAAGGTGCACTATTAAAATTAAATACTTTTGTGCCTAATGTGCAAAAATGACGGTACTATCAGAGGGGTTTTTTTTGCCTTCAATGAGTTTGACTTTCAATAAATCAGCAATTGAAAGAGCAAAACCACTCAAAAGCATTCATTACTTTAACTCTTACAACTGTTTTGAAAATTTTGAAACATGCTTTAATCACAAATGTTTTGCATTGAAATACTGATACGTTAAATCAAATTTAAATCAAATCTAACATATATCTCCAATTGTGATTGAACCCAGTTAATCCCTCTTAAGGAGGGGGTTAACTGGGTTCAATCACAATTGGATGCAATATTAAAATTAGGGATGTACCGAATCCAGGATTCGGGTTCGGATTCGGCCGAATATTGGCTTTTTTAACCGGGTTCGGTTTCTGGCCGAACCCTAGAATTTTTCCCTACCGAACCCGAACCCTGCACTTACATTATGCGCGCTGTGGCTGTTGGATTCATCACGGAAATCAGATTCGTTCGGAAGTGTAAATAAACATGCACTTTAGCGGAGGTTTATATCCTCTTGCTCTTTGTTCCTCTTCGGGTGCGCTGAGGTCTCTTCCTGGTCATGTGATCCCCGCGGTCCAATTAGCTCTAGTCATATGCCGGCGCGAGGGGATGTTATGATTCCTGTTTTCACCTGTAATGCGGTTCTGATGGATCATAAACTAACTGCCTATTCACCAACTTTATGGAGCCGATTACCAGTGCCAGGTACTTGTCATCTGAGCTACTAGCCTCTTAGCATTAGCTTCTCTCAACTTGTCTCTGACGAGTTTGGCATATTTCTCAAATGTCCATATATATAATGTTTTGATCTGAACCAGTGGAAGTTATTTATGCATGTATGGTGCTTGGCTCTTATTTTTACATGACATGCACAATAATATATGTACTTTATCACTGAAGTGTTACACTGCTGTGAACTGAATGTATTTGTGTTTAATGATAAGCGGGAATATTATAAATGTTATAATAATAGATTCTGGTCGAGCTACATGTCCAATTTGCAATGCCGATTTGTCTCGTGGTGGTAAGGACCCTAAACAGTACACAACACCGCGCTGTTAAAACATTTGCGTATGAAACATAAATGGACTGAGGATGGAATAGGATTCGGGATTCGGATTCGGTATTCGGCCAAACTCCAAAAACCTGGATTCGGTACATCCCTAATTAAAATCAAATAAAAATCCTGGATATAGACTGTGATCCAAATCAGTTTTCGAAGCATTAGGGAAAATGAAGTAAAAACCCTAATAAACAGACAAACAAATCCTGGTAATTACCTGTTCCAAACAAAAACACACTTGAGCATCTCGAGAGAGGACAATTCAGCCAAGCCTTTACTAGATGCTCTAGTATTTTCTAGCATTGGAAACCAAATATTGGTTTACCATCATGAAGGCATGTGGACTGCAATTTTTCCCCACACAATAGGCATAAAATGTAAGATGAGGAAGGCAAAATTGTTAAATCGAAGTCTACCAAACATGTCCTGTAGAAAGAACAGGACATTCCAGTGGTATAAGAAGGTTCAGTGTGACCCGTGACTTACCAGGAGCACTGAATAAAATCCTGGCTGAGTCTCCCACTGCCGCAGCTGCTCCTCGGCTGGCTTCAACACAGCTGTGTCCTGACTGGTGGCCTGGGTCAAGGCCTGGAGCACCACTGAACTGGCACTGTCCATATCCATGGTGGGGTATCTGCAGCAAACAGACATGTTATAATATAAAAGTTCCTAGAGGGTGATTTTGTGCATCCAGTTAGACCTGCTGCAGAACACTGTCAGCCACCAACGTGCAAAGCATTGAGAGTAAAGAAAACAAAAAACATATCAGAAGAGTAAACCTTTCAGCTGTCAGAACAGCTGAAAGGCATTTTAAGCCATTTTTAAAAGGAGTCCTGCATTGCTGAAACGAGTGTTGAGGAGAAGTGGAGAGAAATCCTCAAAATAAAGGAGGGCACAGCTGACACAGTCTGTTGTTATGGCGATGGTTTCACAGGTGCAAAGGAGTTTCGACTTCACACACGACTGAAGCATTTCAAAGCTTCGTCTCCAACACACACTTCTGGAATCAAAAGAATTAATCCAACCGAGTATGGGTCAATGATATAATATTAATATTGTTTGACGGTATGATTTAGAGTGACAGTATGAAACCGAAATATCGCATAATCTGTGTGTATGCACACCGGTGATGTTATGTATGATCTTATGGTCTGAGCGTGTGGAGAAACAGTCGCTGCAATCACAGAGATACTCTGAAACAAGCTTCCCTCCCAACAGTCCTTTCTCAATTTATGTAAAACACCTGACTAGGTGTAACGGTCTAAGTGGTAACCGCCGCAAAACATGTAGATGGTAACAGTAACCGTTTCAACGTAAAAATATGGCGTTTACTCTGTGGGTTAGTGCGCCCGCTGGGTTAACACCTTCTCAGAGTCTGAAGGTGTTTAAAACCCCTAAAACACAGTTTCTACAACAAGACAGGCCAGTGCACACAAACCCCGTCCTTGGACCAGTGAATGCATGCCATGGAATCATACATTTGTTTGTCCAAAAAGATACTTTTAAAAATAACATTTTGAGAACAAATGAGATCGCACCATGCTGTATTTATCAGAAAAAATTGCATCTTTTACATACAAAGAGCTGATTGGCTGTGTAAGGGTGGTCAGTTTCTTTTCACTTTCTCACTGAAAATCTGATTTAAAAATCCAAAAACACTGCATGTGAAAACTTCAAATAGTTTTGAGAGCAATAAAACTGAATTACTACATAGCTACTTTAAGTTGTGCAGTTTTGAATATTTTAACTTGCCAATTTATATTGTGATTTACATCATTATAGTAATATTTCCTACCATATCTTAATTTAATTATTTGGCCTCATCGTTCAGCCCTAAAACTGAGGCTCTGTGATTAATTATCATTAATAAACAATAATTATAAAACAATGAAAAACTTGAAAAATGTTTTATGAACTGGGTTCAACTTGTCACTTATGTCTCATTGAACCGCTATTATAAAAGTGACTGAAAACTGTTATCTAAAAAGAGCACACTGGGTTTTGCACACAGGTTGAATCAACTGGTGTCAAGTGGCCAGTTTTAAGGTTGAATCAATGCAATATCTGGATGCAGAGATAAAAGAATGTGATTTAATATCAAACCTAAAAAGGTTCCAAAATTCAGATAATTTAACTGCAGATTAAAATGATTAATTAGCACCAAGATCAGATATGCTTTTCTGCTAAACACTGATCATTTATTAGAGTACATAGATCATTCTTAGATTCATATTATTTTGATTTTCCCTGTAATGCTGCTGCTTTGTGTCGTGGATTCAATAGAATATACTTAAGCATGCTTTAATCAATAACAATAGAGTGTGTACTGGAAGTAGAATAATTCATTATAATATGGTAGAAGCTTTTAAACATACATTTTGCATAAATTATCACATCTTATGTATCAAATACATAATTTTTTTGTAGAATTTTCTGGCATAATGACTGTTAGGAAAATTATAACTTTAAGAGCCACAGAGGCAATAGGACGGGATTAGGCTGCCCCCTAGGGGGCAGAGTCTGCAGTGTTGTACATGTTTATCACTGCCCCCAAAATACAAACGTGATGTCCTGGTAGGAGTGGTGGTAGCAGCTACTACAAAGAAGTTTAGAGTACCATCAGTGTACAATACAAGATGTATTAAATGTTTAGTTAAGAGATTACTCATTTTTCTTTTGGACACCAACAGTAAGGCTTCCAACTAGAATTTAGCAACAACATCCATTTACTAACAGTGACCAAAAGTCTAAATATCCTGAAAAGAATCAATGAATAGTGCATACGGTATATCAGTACATGTACCATGAGCTTCTTCTTCCATTTGGCTTCCCCTTTTCAATTATTAGTATATGTTTCGTAATAGGAAGTAGGGCTGGGCGATATGGCAAAAAAGTAAAATCTCAATTTTATTTCCTGCTTTGGACGATTTTGATTTTAAATAGATTTTCATTAAAGTTACCGAAGACAGACTTTGCCCTTAAAAATATTATTTTATCTTTACGCTCAATATTCAAGTTTCAAAACTATTTTTATTTTGTTTCCCCAAATACGTATTATAAAAGTCTTGTACAGACTGTGCTAATATTGAAAGTATAATTCATGTGCTGCTGGAACTCTCACAGTATCCTTCATTCGATTTCACGATTTTCTCATTTTGCACAAATTTGATATTTTCAAAGCCGATTAATTGCATAAATTCGATTTATTGCCGAGCCCTAATAGGAAGGCAAGAAAAGTTTTCCCAAAAAAAATGTAGCAATAAAAGAGACTCAAAGTGCTTAAAAAAAAGACAGAAACAATCACAAGGCATTAAAATCATGAATAATCACAGTACATTAAACAACACAGACTAAACCGTTTTCAACATTATCTAAGTATAATTCTCTGAAATGATGACTGGAGGCACGGAGAAAAGTATTTTGAAAGCAAAAATGATAAGCCTATAATAATCAACAATTTGTGAGGACAAGTTTAAATTCCTAAACTCAAATAGAAGAGAGACCAGAAAAGTCCCATTTTAGACTTAGGATTTGTTGCGGTTGAACTGAGAAGGCCATTTCTTACCCTGCACTCGGTAACATAGTAGATGGTACTTGATGTAGAAAGTTTGAGAACCAGCACAGGTATGAATAAATTACCGGGGGTGGTGGGCAAAGAAAAAAATGGGCCTGTTTAATTCCAGCCTCATGTAGTTATTCAACAAGCTTGGCCAGAAAAAAACAGCATACTATTGTGAAGCCAAAGCAAAACAAACACATATATATCAAACAACTTTGAGAATCAGGGTGTTATTACATGCCTATGACACTAATACACACGTATTGCTCTATTAAACCCTTAGAGTAGTAAGTAAGTAAGTAAGTAATGTTTATTTATATAGCGCATTTTACAGACCAAGGTCACCCAAAGCGCTATACAATGTTCAGAGTTCAGATATTGTTGCAATTATTCCACACACGGTGACCATCCATTCACTCTCTCATTTACATTCATACCTATTGTGCATGTTATTAGTGGTAGGGGAAACCGGAGCAACCGGAGGAAATCTACGTAGACACAGGTAGAACATGCAAACTCCACTCAGAAAGGCCCTGTTAACATAGTTAACAGTAAATACAAGAAAAAAACATAAAAACGTAAAAAATGAAATTTGTATTTGCAGTACTACAAGTACTTCAAATACTGAAAATTATACGAACTGTAGAAGTAAAAAAACTAATGTGATTAGTCACACTGTTATAAAGATCAGAAAATGTAAAATGTAGAATTTCTGAAATCAAAAACATTTAAAAAGAGTTTAAAACAAAAGATGTTTCTATTTAAATCAATGGAAACGTTCAAAATACTTTAAAAAACTACAATACTGAAAATACTATTGGTCTTAGAAGTATACAACCTTTTGCATCTGTGTATCGGATTCTGTAATTACATTCTAAAAGATGTGAATAATATTTTTTTTTTCCAGAATCTGCTGATATGGAGTAGAATAGAATCCATGCGTCCCTCAACTTTAACAAGATTTCCCAAATAACTTGATTTTAGTTTCATTAATTCACCGCACCTCATTCCAAAATGAGCTGGCTTGTTCAAATGTGCTTTAGCATACTTCAAGCAACTGTTTGTGTGTGAAGAAAAGGCTTTCTCCGCATTACTCTCCCATTCAGCATCTCTTTGTGTAAAGTGCGCTGAATAGTGGGGCACCATGTGCAGTAGGATGATGTTGTGGGTCTTTGGAGCTGGTCTGTGGGTTGACTCTGACTGTTCTCACCATCCTGTGCCTCTGCTTATCTCAGATTTTTCTTGGTCTGCCACTTGGAGCCTTAAGCAGAACTGTGCCTTTGGTCTCACAGTTAAAACTGAAAGCTTAAATCTCTGATAGCTTTTGGTATCCTTCCCTTAAACCATGATATTGAACGATGTTTGTGTTTTAAGGTTATTTGAGAGATGTTTTGAAGCTCTCATTTTCAGAGACGATACAAAGAGGGAAAACAGTTAGAATTTCTAAAATATCCTTTCTGATTGGATTCCAGAGGTTTATGGCAATGCTAGGAGCTGGTTTGATTTGTTATGGGCTATAGTACTTTGTTTATAGTTGACTTCATCATGTAAACTATTTTCTGTCTCTGAAAAGAGTTGAAAACTCACTGAATTACAAGGATTTAGGTGGTCACTTGCATGTGGTTTACAGAAAATAGATATTATACATTCATACATACATAAGAACGTTAATCCCTGTCCCCATTATTCTAGTCAACTATGTTCAAATTCAAATGGTGTTTTATCTGAAACAACAACTACAATGTAACAACTGCAATATCCATAAATTATAGACTATTGTTGCGTGAGCATTCAATCGGAAAGGAGAGATTGTCACACATAATTAGGTTGTCACTCGTCCTGTGTAATACGCAGTTGTAGGCACACCAACAATAACATCATAAAATGAAATGATGTTAAATTCAATAAAAGCATCTGGCAGGTTGTCAATGAAATAGAAAACGGTGCCCTATACTAATATTAGCGGAGATAAACTAGACCTCGATACGTAGATAAAGAAGGCACAGGTTATGCATGCCACAGAGAAAGTTGCATCAATACACCAGGAGGAGTTACTTCTTCACTTTGTGGATAAACAGACGAGCTAACTTTGAGCTAGTAGCACGTAAGCTAAAGTTAATACCAGAAAAGCAGGACCAGTGATGACTTGATTAAGAGCATGTTGCATTCATTTTGTATTAAGCCCATAGAGAGAGAGATTAAAAGCCGACTCACCAAAGAGCCGGTGTAGGTAAGGTTATAAACTCGCTCTGCCAATGGTATGTGATGGGAGATGAAAACACACGCCTGCTGGATTGGCGCGTGCACTTCACGGGCGCACATTGATGACGTATATTGCACACATTCACACCATAAGCATACACGTACACACCATGGATCTATTATAGGCAAGGCAAGGCAAGGCAAGGCAAGGCAAGGCAAGTTTATTTATATAGCACAATTCATACACAAGGCAATTCAAAGTGCTGAACAGAACAAGAAAGCATTAAAATCATAAATAATCACAGTACATTAAAAAAAGATAAAAATATAAAATCCCTCAGTTGTATGCACAGCTAAACAGAACTGTTTTCAACCTTGTCTTAAACATTGTCAGAGAGGAGGCCTGTCTCACATCTTCAGGAAGACTGTTCCAGATTTTAGCAGCATGAATCTGAAAAGCAGCCTCCCCATGTTTAGTTCTGACTCTGGGCACTAACAGGAGTCCAGTCCCTGTGCTCCTCAGAGTCCGGGCTGGTTCATATGGGACTAACATGTCACTAATATATTCTGGTGCGAGGCTATGGAGAGACTTGTACACAAGAAAAGCTGTTTTAAAGTCTATTCTCTGAGCCACAGGAAGCCAGTGCAGAGACCTGAGGACCGGACTAATATGGTCGTACTTCCTGGTTCCAGTCAGGACTCGAGCTGCTGCATTTTGAATGTACTGCAGCTGTTTTACAGCCTGTTTGGACAGACCTGTGAGCAGGCCATTGCAGTAGTCTAACCTACTGGAGACAAATGCATGGATAAGAATCTCCAAGTCTGCTTTAGACACTATGTTTTTGATCCTGGCAATGTTTTTTAGATGGTAAAAAGCTGCTGATGTTACTGATTTGATGTGGCTATTAAAATTTAAGTCTGAGTCCAGTATTACCCCTAGATTTCTGACCTTGTTTGAAGGTTTTAGGGAGAGAGACTGTAGGTGACAGATGACGCTCTCTCTTTGTTTCTGGGGACCAAAGACAATCATTTCAGTTTTGTCTGCGTTTAGCTGAAGGAAGTTGTTTTGCATCCACTCACTGATCTGTTGGATACAGTGAAGGAGTGAGTCCACTGGTCCATGTTCTCCTGCAGTCAGTGAGACATAGATCTGAGTGTCGTCTGCATAGTTGTGATAGGACACTTTGTTTCTGCGTATTAACTGACCTAACGGCAGCATGTAGAGATTGAACAGAAGAGGTCCCAGGATCGACCCCGTGGTACTCCACAGGTCAGGGCCATATGATCTGAGACACAGTCTCCAATCTCCACAAAGTACTTCCTGTCTTCAAGGTAAGACCTAAACCAACTTAGGGCGGTGCCAGCGACTCCAACCCAGTCCTCTAATCTCTGTAAGAGGATCTCATGGTCGACGGTGTCAAAGGCAGCACTCAGATCTAACAAGATTAAGATTGAGACTTTGCCTGCGTCAGTGTTCAGCCGGATATCGTTTGTAACCTTGACAAGAGCAGTCTCAGTGCTGTGGTGGGGTCTAAAGCCGGACTGAAACATATCAAATGAGTTGTTGATTATAAGAAATCTAATAAGCTGTAGGTAGACAACTTTTTCAAGGACTTTCCCCATAAATGGCAGATTTGAGATGGGACGATAGTTGTTAAGTACCGTAGCATCCAGGCTGCTCTTTTTTAGCAGGGGCCTGATGACTGCAGTTTTCAGGGCCTTTGGGAATATTCCAGAATGAAGGGACATGTTTACTATCTGTGTGAGTGAAGGTAACAGACTGCTCAGAACAGACTTCAGAAATCTAGTGGGTAGTACATCCAAGCTGCATGTGGAGGCGCTCAGACTGGAGATTATCTCTTGGACAGTTTTATCATCTACAGGTGCAAAGTAAGTTAGCTCAGAGAGCCTTTCTGGCTGTTGGATGGTTATCTGTGGATTGGAGACAATGGCGTTTTTGATGCCTTGAACCTTGTCATTGAAAAAGTGTGCAAACTCATTGCATTTACGTTTGGAAGTTAGCTCTAATGGCATCTGAACAGGGGGGTTTGTTAATCTAATAACTGTTGAAAACAGAACACGCAGATTGTTACTGCAGCCTTCAATCATTTCAGAAAAATACCTTTCTCTCGTACTACGTAGCACCCGGTTAAACTCGCACAACTTATCTTTGAAGATCTTGTAATCAACCTGGAGGTTGGACTTGCGCCACTTCCGCTCGGCCCTCCGGCACTTTCTCTTTTGTGCCCTGACCGAGTCTGCTTTAGCCCACGGCGCCTTCTGCTTATTTTTCACTATTTTAACCTTCACAGGGGCAACGGTATCCAGAACATTCAAAACACTAGAGGTGACAGAGTTAAACAGTTCATCTACAGTAGAATACGATGCATTCTCAAAGTTTATCATTCCCATAAATAGATCACTCGTATTTTCATTTATGTGTCTTCTTCGAACAGTTGCAGAGTCCACTGGTGGTTTGTTAGTGAAACACATGTCAAAAAATACACAGAAATGATCCGAAAGAGCAACATCGACCACGTTTACATTTGAAATATTTACCCCCTTAGTAACTAACAGGTCTAGAGTGTGCCCTCTGCTGTGGGTGGGGCCACTCACATGCTGAGTGAGACCAAAGGTATCAAGTAAAGAACTCAGCTCTTTTGCATTTCTGTCATCAACATTATCCACATGAATATTAAAATCACCTGTAATAACTAAACTATCAAAATCTGTGCATACAACAGAAAGCAACTCGGTAAAATTATCAATAAAACTGTGACATGACTGCGGTGGCTTGTATAGGACTATGAAGAGTATTGGAGGAGATTGTTTTTGTTGTATTTTAAAAGACACATATTCAAAAAACGGAAACTTCCCAAGAGACATTCTATGGGAGACAAAGTGGTCTCTGAAAATGGCAGCTAAGCCTCCTCCTTTTTTGTTTTCCCGTATTTCAGATTCAAATTTGAAATTTGGTGGTGATGCTTCTATTAAAACTGCATTTTCTGTATTTTGGTCAAGCCATGTTTCAGCCATGAACATAAGATCAAGATTATAAGAACAAATAAAATTATTGATTAAAAAAGACTTGTTAGAAAGAGATCTGACATTTAGCATAGCAAGTTTCAAAGTTTCAGTATCAGCGGTTGTGGTCGGCTGATTCTTACACGGAACAAGAATTAGATTTTCCAGATTAGACTGATTAACTCCAGATGTCTTTCTGTAATGTATTCTTTGTGTTATCACTAAGGGAATGGCACAGGTGGCTTCATGACAGGGCCCCAGCCGGGTCTCTCCTCTAACTAGACTGCCAGTGGCTGCGAAGCAGAGACCCTGTGCATCCTAGGGAGAGGAGGGAGGAGGATGGAGAGGTGGGTGGTTCTTGGGTGTTGGACGAGGGGGGGTTGGAGGTGGATGGGTGTTAGGGGAGGGGCAGGAGTTGGGAGATAGACGAGGGGGGAGTGGAGGTGGAGGGGTTCTTGGTGATGGGAAACGAGGGGGGGGTGGGGGTGGGGCTGGAATGGTTTTGGGGTTAGGGGAGGGACCTGTGGATTTTGCGGGTGAATTCGAGTTAGAATTTGAGGGACGGGTGGATTTTGTGGGAGAATTTGAGTTGGACGCCCTAGGTGGCTTTGGAGGTACGTATGGGGAGAAGTTATGAATGTTAGATAGGACCCTTGATCTGGCTACAGTGGGTGTGAGAGGAATATTCTTCATCGCCGATCTTATCATGCCTGCAGAGTGTTCCGGTAAATCCAATAGTGGAATGGAAAACACAGGGAAAGGTCGTCCTCATGTTCCTTAGATGGAGTGGATGTAGCGGGGGGGACCCAAACCGGGTCCATGGAAGGTGATGAGGGAGTCTTTGGTGGAGACGGAGGTGGTTGAGAGGCCCCCAGTGCAGGCCTGACTGTAGCCTGTAGCAATGGGGGGGGCTTCACGGGAGCTGTAGGTGGGGAAGGTGCTGCTGAAGATGATGCAGCAGCCACAGCTGGTGCTGGTGGTGCTGATGCTGAAGGCGCTGATGACGCTGTGGCAGCCACTGCTGCTGCTGGTGCTGGATCCTTTGCTGATGATGATGCTGGTGGACGTGTTGAGTTCTTTTGAGGCGGTGGAGGTGCCGAGACCTCTGGGTTCCGTGAGGGTCTCGCCCTTTGTATCCTCCTCTCTTTCAACGGCTGAACGCGCTGCGCAGGCTGAGGTCTTAAGGCAGATGCAATTATTATTATAATAACGGTACACACGCACGCACACTTTTATTTTCCGAGTTTCACCTATATTTCTGCACATTTCTGTAAAAGTGCCGATTTTAGTTTGACAGTTAGTTTTCTAGGGTTTTGAACATTAGTTAGACGTGTGTGCCTATGTGTGTAATTGGGGAGGTCGGGTCATGGATCTATCATGGGTCGGGTTAGGACAATTGGAATGTAGGACTGTTTTTAACCAAACTGTAAAGTACTTTGTGTTGCATTATTTGTAATGAAAGTACCTGAGTAACATGTATAATGTCAGGTCAGGTCAGGTCCAAAGTGATGTGCCCTTTCTTGAGACTTTTTTGTCAGAACCGATTCAGAGAGAAGTATAGTAAAACATAAAATGCAAAAATGAAACCGCACATAGACAACAATACAAAATCTAACCTGAGAAGAAGTGCATTGTCATAAAAAATCTGCAATAACACTTGCAATAAAATCTTCATGGGGAAGAGGAAGAGCCAGGATACCATCAATCAACCAAACCTTATTTATGAAGTGCTCATGCAGAAATTATCTGCTCGAGAATATGCTAAATTTGACCACTGTAAAAGGGCAAATCTGGAAAAATAGGAGCCAAAGACCATAAACTACAACGATGGATACTGGAGGCATCATTTATGTATTTATTTATTTATTTATTCGTTCTTATATAACATTACAGTCACATAAAGAACAGGAGTAGGAGGAAGACCAAGTCTTATTTAAACCCCTACCCCAATCTTATGACAGTAAGACAACAAACATAGATGGCTTTGTGTCAAAATACAACAAATACAAAGACAATACTATTTCTCACTTCATTTAACATAAGATTTGATCATTTTTTGTTTACATTTAAACTTAAATTGTAATATATTTGAACATGTTTTTAATTCATTGTCCACAGAGTTCCACAGTTTTACACCAGCACATGAGATGGACATTTGTTTAAGTGTTGTTCTTGCAAAAGGCATTTTAAAATCCAGATTCCTTCTGCTGATTTCATCGTTTACCAAGAAAAACATTTGAAGGACACGGGGAAATAAATAATGTCTTGCTCTGAACATAATCAATAATGTCCGCAATACAATTAAATCTTTCATTTTTAACAGTTCTGACTTCAAAAATAGTTCATTTGTGTGTTCTCTTGGAGCAGTTTTGTGTATTATTCGTAAAGCTCTTTTTTGTAGAATGACTAAAGGTGTTAAATTAGTGTTGTAGGAGTTGCCCCAGATTTCAAGGCAATACTGTACATATACTGTAATATGGGAGGATCAAAGAACAGTATAGAGTTCACATTGCCTTGTAATTTAACAGATATTTTACTTTGCTCAATATGGCAAGATTCTTACAGATTTTCTTTTTTGTTGAAGCAACGTGTCGCTTCCATTTTAGGTTTTCATCAATAATGACTCCTAAGAAATGAATTTCGGAAACCCTTTTGATTTTAACACCATTAAAATATAAATCAATATCTTCCACCCTTTTTTGATTGGTGAACAGCATCAAAGAAGAGCGAGCCACTGCTATGAATATGGTTTTTGTTTGTATATGATATCATATGTTTCTGTTGTACAACATTATTACAACAGTTTACAGTTAATGCAAAAGACATGGTGGTAAAAAATCGACAATCATGTAATGTAAATTACAATTTTAAACTAATCGTAATAGATTACAATTATATAATTGTAATGTGATTTTTCAAGTTCTCATCATTGTTTTGCTCATAAAGCGTCACCAAAAACAACTATACAAGCCGGATTAGATTGCTCATTAAAACTGTTGCAGCAGGCAGGAAAATAGGACTTTCCCCTTTAAGTCTATGGACGCACCAGTTGTTTGTCTGTGATGGCGCAGGGTGTAACTGGAGTTTGGAGCAGATCTCTCCCGGCGTTTTGGTTTGTGTGTGCTTATCGAGTGCATGTGTGTGTAATCCAAAGGGGTGTGTCCTCACAGTCACTCTTAGAAAGAATTCTGCTCCACTAAACTTTCCTCCGGATTGCACAGCTATCAATCTGCAGCATGGGCTTCTGGGAATTTTCATGTATTTATCTTGGTGCTGCAGTGGTCATCTATCTTGGAGTGAAAATTATACTTTTTGGCAGGATGCTTTTTCCTAAAATGTGGTTTCCTCTGCCGAATTCATTCTTCATCTCTCAGGGAGAGTGGGCAGGTGAGTGGCTGTGATCTAAAGTGCACATAACAGTTCATAATGCCATAACATTTGCTCTTTTGGTTTATGTGACAGAATTAGATGTTTTTACTGTTTTTACATTTGTTTTGACACCAGTTATTACTACAGTTATAGCAGTGTGAACTGATGTCAATTCACGCCTCTGGCAATGGTTTGGAATCCTGATGGCTCTAATTTCCTTTCCCCTTTAATGGTGTGATTCTCTTCACTCTACTCTTCTGTGTATTTTATCATTTCTTTAAAATAGATTGTACTTATTACTTGTCGTTTATGTTCAAATAATTGTATTATTATTTGTCAGTGTTTTGGTAGACTGTAGACTAATTTACAACAGAAGGCAGGAGTCTAAATACTCCAGACTTGTGATCCTCTTCAAACAATAACCATCAATCTTTGGTTTGGGATTTGCTGCAAAAGTCTGCCATAATAATATTGTATTTTTAAATATTTTCAAATTATAGAATTGCCATTTCCTAAATAGGTTTTCAGACATATTGACATGGCAACAAAACAACAATCTAACAGTTTCCAGGCCTTTCCTCCAGCTTTTAATTGTAAAAAGTAAATTAATATTCTTTGCGATGTCACTTGAGTGCAGTGCATAATGCGAGGCAAACTTTTTAAAATATGATTTGCCAAACATATTTTTGTGCAAGTAATAACATGCACATCCCAACTGAGAGCTGCTAAAAACGCTGAAACACATAACTCTCTGTCATCAGGAGTTTATTTACTTGTACATTACCTGCATGTCTCTTCCTCTTCTCTCACCTTTTAGAAAGTGAGTTCAATCTGGCCCTTCATCAAAGGGAAACACAAACATAATTCATACAACCTTTTGTGAATAGATTTGTCACCATACTGTGCCAACCTGTAATCTTTAAAAAAAAGAAAAAAAAAAGAAAGATTTATGCATCCGCTTTTCATTTTACTTTAGATTTATAGTCTGGAACCAGTCCATTTGTGTCAAAACCAACATGGCAGCGCGCAGCCAGCAAAGACGAGCCGGAATACTAAGAAGCAGGAAGGATTTCTCCCGAATCAAGTGGTCACAGTGAATCGACATTGTTCAAAATTGTGAATAAGAGCTAAAATAAGCTGCATATATTTTGTTTGAACGATACAAGGGTGATACAAGGATATACAGTTTATATAGTTTATCTACAGTCAACCTTCTATCAGTAAAAGCATGTGTTTTGGGAGAGAGGCCACACATTTTGGAGCCAGAAAGGTGGTTTTGATTGTGCAGTGACTTGAAGATTTTGAACTGCACAGAGGGTAAAACTGGTGTGGCAATTTATCTTGTTAAATAAATATTGGTAAATTGTCAAGAAAGGGACCTAAAGTAAATAGATAAATAAAATAACACATAAAAGTATTGCTGAGAATATTTATGATAGATTGAAGGACCACTTGCCTAGGGTCGAGGAAGTTCTCAGGAGAGTGCCATAATAAGTTCATCTTGGTCCTTCTCCTTCTCTCCCACACTCAGAAAGCACCCAGATACATCCCCTTTCTTTTCCATGTCCGCGCTCATTCCATTCTGGCACAGAGGAAAAAAGCCATTAGAACAGTATGTACCGGGCCGGAGAAATCCCACTGTCTCCCTGCATTCTTGAGCCCCACACAAGTTGAATAAGTGGTTCTAATTCAGCTGCTCCAAATTGAACTTGTGTGGGCAAAAGTGAACAAGAGCCTGGCACTGCCTGGACAGCGGGGAGCCTTGGCGCAGTCAGAGCTGTTCTGTGATCACGATCAGGGCCTGGTTTAAACACGTCTGCATCCACTGAACCGTCTGACTTGTAAAACTATAATACCAATATACATTAGAAAAAATATACCGTTTTAAGTAGCAACTCTTGTTTGTACAACTTTTTACTTTAATTGATCTTGTTTTATAAAGCCACTTCCTTTATAGATACATACATAATCTTATCTTAATACCAAAAAATGCACTATCCATTACATTCTGACCTGTCCTCCATAGAGGAACAGAATTGTGACTCACAGCGAGAGCCTGTTTGTGAATATTTCGCTTTCCTGTTTGTATTTGTCCAGGCATGTCTGCAAGTGTAGGTCATAAAATAAACACACTTGTCCGTAAAAGATAGAAAACATCTGTTACAAAACACTTGGAATATTTCCCAAAAATAAAATTATTATTTAAACTACAGACAAACTGGATTTTGATTTATGTATAAAGAAAAAAATCATGCCAGCAATGACATGTGCCAACTTTTCTTTATTGTGTCTTTCTATGTTTAAGGCAGGACAGGGCCTGGTTAGTACTGTGATGGGAGACTGTAGGAACACCAGGTACCACAGTGGGGCGGCTGTGACGTGTCCTTAGGCAAGACACTTCACCAACATTGCATAGTATGAGTGTAATAAAAATATAAAACAATGGTTTATTATTGTGAGTAATAGTGATAATACATAAATACATAAAAATATATAATCTTGATATAACATTTATTTTTCAAGGGAAACCGAATTGTCTTAGTATTTAGCTTGTTAAAATTTTTCATAAACAATTAATTTTGGTACATACTGTTTACACCTAAAATGTAACTACAGGAGTAAGACTCTGCACAACCAACTAATAGAAATCAAATATACAAACCAAACAAGTATTATAAGTATGAAAGCGCCTTACTCAAACATATATTCAAATACATAAAAAACCTGGAAGACTCATTCACAGGACAGATATCTGTAAACAATGACGCTGCACTCATCAGGTCATTGTGACCCGGAAAGCTCAGAGCCCATCACTACTAAAGTACAAATTATATAAAAATATACTTTCTGTGCATTCTGTAAAAACTTAAACAGCCACAACTACCCCTCAAAAGTCCACAGACAACTTTAACTGACATAACCTGCTTTATACTTGAGGTTATAATGTCTGTGTGTGTGTAAAGAAATACCCTTTTATGTCCTCTTGTGTTTGATTACAGTTTAGGGTCGGAATATATAGCTACCTTGTATATAATCTGTGTTTTTCTAAGGAAGGATTAGGGTTAGGGTTCTAAGGAAGGATTGTGAAATATGGTGTGGCCATTCAACCAATTGGAAGTTACAACACATTACAAGCATAACCCCCGTAAAACATCTGGACACATGAGACAACCTAACTGGCCACTGCAGTTGATATAGTCATGTGTCCAGATGTTTTGTAATGTAATTCAATATATGTAATGCCACAGCAGACAACTATACCTCAAATGGTAAGTAAATATTGTCACATTTTGCACCATGATTGGAATAAGTTTGACAAGAAAAACAAGAATATAAATCAAATAAGGTCCTGAAGTGGAAGATGGAAGATCACAGTGTACTTGCTCTGTACTACTAGAGCAATGGGAAAAGTCACGTATGATAAACAAGTTCACACAATCCTGGCATGCGTCATCAGAGCACAGCTGAGGTTATCCCTAGTGTTCACAAAAGACTGTTCAGTTTGCTTGATTGTGTTTCAGTTGTGACCGGAGCCTCAGAGGGGATAGGGAGTGCGTATGCATTTGCTGTAAGTCATTTTAAAAACCCACCACCACCATCACCACCAGCCGTCGTATATGTCTGAAGACTGTCAAATGTTTGTGTTCTTTGTGTGCACAGTTGGCAGAGCGAGGGATGCATGTTGTGATCATCAGCAGAAGCAAAGAGAAATTAGACAAAGTGGCAAAGACGATTGGTAAGTTTGGTCAGACTTATAAAGCTGGGTTACTTCATTTTGTTTTGTCCCGTGAATCAATCAATCTTTTTTTTTTATAGAGCCCTTTAGTGCTTTACAATAAAATCCATTAAAACAGTCATGCAATCAAAATATAAAAGTTACAAAGCATTAAAACGCTTTTAAGAAGTGCTACTGTGCTAATGAGTGTTAAAGGTGTTAAAAGCCAGTCTGAATAAATAATACATGTTGTTTGTCGTGACAAAAAGAGTTTTGTAAAAAGTAGTGAGTAAAATGAACAGATCAGATTGCATCATGATGAAATCCTTGCATTCGTCACAAGTAGATTTGATTATTATTACTATTATTCAGATATTATTATTTATTCCTTTAATCCCGACTGTGGGACAAATAAAGTATCTCTTAATCTTATTGCATTCCCTGTTCTCCGGTCGGCTCATTTAAAACTCAGCTGTCTGTGTTCTGATCATAGAAGTTCTGATGCAGACTAGAAAAAAATCTCCACCTGTTCTAAAAGATCTCCACTGGCTCCAAGTTCAGGCCGGGATTGACTTGAAAATTGTGTGTTAGTGAATGATATCAAATGTACTCCGAACCTAATTCAAGAGGAAAACTAAAGACTAATTTGCTTAAGGTGAAGGCATACTTTATTGACCCTGTAGGGAAATGTGTCCTCTGCATTTGACCCATTCTGAAATCCCACTAGGAGTCCCCCTTAAAATATGGATGAATTAAAATCATAACCCCTGCTGAACGACATTAATGATTTGGCCTATTTTCCCTTAAATACTGAAATTTCTTTGGCAAATTATTGATGAAATACGGTTCATTTATTTTACATTTTATCTTGATATCATATCATATTCATATCATGTTTGAGAGCCACAGCACTGAGGGAAACCGGTAAGAGGCAGTGGTCACATTAGTACAGTGCCTCCAGGTGTTGATGCACTTAGTCAGGACCAGAACTGGAGGATTTTACAATAGGTTGAATGTTTTGTCTGACGAAAGAAACCAGAGCACCTGGAGGAAAACCACCCAGACACAGGGAGAATCATTAAAACTCCACACAGAAAGCCCCACAAAGGAAGACCACAGAGACCACTGAGCCAAGTGTGAGTGGTAGCACTTTAGACTTTCGTATTTTCAGATAGTGTGGTTATCTCTTTATGGGTTTTTTTGTGGTTTGTTTGCATAAGAAATTTCTTACAAAACTTACTTCCGGTGACGAGAGCATGGACGCGTGAGCGTGCAGCTCCTCTCAAACTTCGAACCAATTTGAAGAAATAATGGTTTAAAGTAAAACAAATCATGAAAGAGACTTATGCTTGACTGCGACAAGGAATGTATCTTCGCTCTGGTAAAGTAGCAGAAAAAACGGAAAAAGAGAGAAAGAGAAAGAAGAAGGACAAAAGCCTGGCGAATATGGACGGGCAACGCTTTAAGGAGGTGTTTAAAGATGCCGCAGCTGAAATTGTTCAAGAGCTGCGTGAGTTCCGTGGAGAATTTAGAGAATTCCGAGAAGAAACGAAGAGGGAAATGGACGAAATAAAGAAAGAAATGGGACAGCATAAGTCCGAAATGAAAGGCATGAAAGAACGCGCGACCGCAGTGGAGGAAAGGGTTAACTGCGCCGAAGAAAGAGAAACTATACTTGTGGAAGTGATGGAAACGCTCACACAAGATATGGACGAGATGCAGAAGCGGGTTGAGTACCTAGAAAATAAATCGAGGCAGATGAACGTGCGCATCTACAATGTGAAGGAGAATAATGACCCTGCTAATATGAGACATTTCGTAGAAACGCTTCTACATGAAACTCTGCAAATCCCGAAAGAACAACTGGGAATCGTGGCAGCGCACCGTTCTGGGGCAACCCAAAAGGCAGACGCATCAGGGAACAAGCCACGAAGTATCATCGCTCGCTTTCCGACTTGGGAGGCCAAGCAACAGGTGCTGAAGGCGGCATGGGGGAAGAAAGAAGTGCTCTACCGCGGAGGCCGCATCTACCTGGATCAAGATTTCACAGCGAAACTACAAACCCAAAGGAAAGGCTTCATGCGTATCCGAAGCCATCTGAAGGAGAAGGGTATTAACGCGCATGTCCGATACCCAGCGAAGCTGTTTGTGTTGGAAGAAAACGAGGATTTTCAACATTCCACAGGACTCAGAGCAGACCTATGGCCTCACCCCAAGCGCTAGGCCTAAGGGCCGAGGAGAATGGGTGCACCAGCTGAAACTATTGGGATGGGAGAGGGTGAGGAATGGGAGTGAAGGCTGAGTCGAACGGGAAGAAGAAGACGAAAGGTATGGACATTTAAAGTACTATGGGGGAGTAGAGAGTAATTTAATTTATATAAAAGTTGAGCTGGACTATGTGACTGAGATGGAGCTGTATGGGTGCACAATCGGGAATTACTGTATATTATTGAAGCACTAATTAAAAGGAAGATAAAACAGGAACCACTCTCCATATTTAATTTAGTTTAAGGTTCTTTTTTTTTTTTTTTTTTTTTTTTTTAATATAGTTTTTTTATTATTACTATTATTATTGTAAGTATTATTTATTATTTTAGAACGAGACCTTTTTATTTATCTCTTTCTCTCCTTTTTTTATGTTTATTTTATTTTTATTTTTTTCTCTCTCTCCCTCCCATTTCTCTTTTCTCTTTCCTAGATGCTAATTTTTCTCAGTTTTTCTGTAGCCAGGCATATTTATTCTCAGGGGATATAGCCTTTCTCTAAATATTTTTTGAATTAAGACACGATATAAGTAAAAGGTTCGGAGTTTGAGAGGAACTTAGGGGCTGCCAGTAGTTTGAGTGAAAGTGTTCAAGAATGAACACGGAAATCATGCAAAAAGTAATGCATGAAAATCCACAAAGACCATCATTGAGAATGATGGACCAATTGGAAGTCATTTTAGTTTTTCTAATTTACTTTTTTTCTGAGGAGGAATATAAATTAAGTCGTATTGTATGGTTGTGTAGTGTTTTAGTTTTATCTCATAGAAAAGAAAATATAAATGATCATGAATGAGATAAAAATTGTATCACAAAATATAAATGGCCTTAATAACTGTATTAAAAGGAAAAGAGTTTTGCAAAATTTGAAACGAGAGGGGGATATAATATTGTTGCAAGAAACGCATTTAAACAAAATAGAGCATGAGAAACTTGGTAAACTGGCATCAGCCCAGGTCTTTGTATCGTCTTATGGCACAGCCAGAAGAGGAGTAGCTATTATAATACCAAAACGTATTCCGTTTGAACTTGAAAAATGTGTTAAAGATAAAGAGGGCAGGTATGTGTTAGTAGTGGGAAAGGTAGATGGTAAGGCGATGTCTTTGTTAAACATTTATAATCCACCTGGACAAGATTCCGAGTTCATGAGAAGAATGGTTTCATTACTAATTACAGAAGCAAAAGGGTTAGCAATCATGGGAGGGGATTTTAATATGGCAATGTCTACTAAAGATACTCAAAGTAAAGGGAAACACAAAGCTGAAAAAACCGCTACATTATTAAAAAAGATAGAAAAGGAATTGGGTTTGACTGATATATGGAGGCATCTTAATCCTCATGAAAGAAAATATACCTTCTACTCCGATGCACATAAGATTTATTCCCGGTTGGATTATTTTTTTATGTTTAAGGATGACATCACAAAAATTAAGAAGTGTGAAATAAGACCCATAATACTGGGGGACCATGCTCCAATTACGTTAACCATTTCTTTGGGAAATGGGAAAGGAAGAACACTATGGAGATTGAATAATTCTTTACTCCAGGACGAACATTTTAAAGACAGAATTCAACAAATTATAGAAGATTTCTTTCAAAATAATGACAAAGAGGAGATAACACCAGTTATACTGTGGGAAGCCGCAAAAGTTACCATACGTGGTGAAATAATATCCCTCACTTCTTGGAGAAAGAAAATGTATATGCAAGAGATGAATGCTGTAAAAAGTGAAATAGAATGACTGCAACAGGAGCATGAACAGACAGGAAACTATCAAATTAAGAAAAAGTTAATTGAAAAACAAAATAAATTGAATGAAATTTTGACAGAAGAAATAGTCAAAAGTCTTGAACTTACCAAACAACAATTTTATGATAACAGTCCTAAAGCTTTAAAACTTTTAGCATTTAAATTGAAAAAAACAAAGAGAACAGGCAACTATTTCAAAAATTCTAGGAAATGCTTTTAACTACCATACAGAAAAAAATGAAATCACAGAATGTTTCCTCAAGTACTATAACGAGCTATATGAAGAAACAGGATGTAGAAGTAGTGAAAGCAGTCAATATTTGAAGTCACTACATTTACAGCAGGTAACCTCAGAACAAAACGCAGAACTTATAAAACCAGTGACTGAACAAGAAGTCCTGGCTGCTATACAGAAGAGCAAGGTGGATAAGAGTCCAGGAAGTGACGGATACACTAATGAATTTTACAAATATTTTAACCAATTACTAGTACCAATTCTATGTAGGTTGTTTAACTGGATAATCGTAAAAGCTGTTTGGCCCCCCACATGGAACGATTCAATAATTAGTGTTCTTCCAAAAGAAGGCAAAGACCTAACTAAATGTAGTTCATACAGACCAGTGTCTTTATTAAATGTGGACCAAAAAATATTTACATCTATTATGGCTAACAGACTGTCAATAATAGTTCCGCATTTGATAAATAAAGATCAAAACGGTTTTGTGCAAGGAAGATTGTTGTCAGACAATGTGAGGAGGATTCTGAATTTGGTAGATTGGGCAGAGAAACATAGGCAGCAGGCTCTAATGCTGACATTAGATGCTGAAAAAGCCTTCGATCGGTTATCTTGGGATTTTATTTTTGACACTTGTAAAGCTTTTGGTTTCCATGATTATTTTATAAATGTTCTGAGAGTGATGTATAAGAATCCTCAAGCAGCTGTAAAAGTAAATGGAGCATTGTCGAGGACGTTTAGCCTGCACCGCGGTGTAAGGCAGGGCGACTGT